AGAGAGTGAAGGTGGAGGAGGTGAGTGCGAGGGTGGACAAGGCGAGTTGTGTGAAGCCTCTCCTTTCGCCAGCACCAGCCTGTGCCTGTGTGCCGCCACCAGCTTGTGCACGGCTCACATTATCCTCATGCTTGTTTTCAGTCGACTCCAAACATGGCTCACATTATCCTCATGCTTGTTTTCAGTCGACTCCAAACACGGCTCACATTATCCTCGTGCTTGTTTTCAGTCGACTCAAAACACAGCTCACATTATCCTCATGCTTGTTTTGAGTCTACTCAAATCACGGCTCACATTATCCTCATGCTTGTTTTCAGTCGACTCAAAACACGGCTCACATTATCCTCATCCTTGGCTCGGATCCTTTGTTTCTCAGCCGGTGCATCCACTTATCCCAGCTGAGCAGAGCAAAGTGACTTTTGAGTCGACTCAAAAGTCAACACGGCTCACATTATCCTCATCCTTGGCTCGGATCCTTTGTTTCTCAGCCGGTGCATCCACTTAACCCAGCTGAGCAGAGCAAAGTGACTTTTGAGTCGACTCAAAAGTCAACACGGCTCACATTATCCTCATCCTTGGCTCGGATCCTTTGTTTCTCAGCCGGTGCATCCACTTATCCCAGCTGAGCAGAGCAAAGTGACTTTTGAGTCGACTCAAAAGTCAACACGGCTCACATTATCCTCATCCTTGGCTCGGATCCTTTGTTTCTCAGCCGGTGCATCCACTTATCCCAGCTGAGCAGAGCAAAGTGACTTTTGAGTCGACTCAAAAGTCAACACGGCTCACATTATCCTCATCCTTGGCTCGGATCCTTTGTTTCTCAGCCGGTGCATCCACTTATCCCAGCTGAGCAGAGCAAAGTGACTTTTGAGTCGACTCAAAAGTCAACACGGCTCACATTATCCTCATCCTTGGCTCGCATCCTTTGTTTCTCAGCCGGTGCATCCACTTAACCCAGCTGAGCAGAGCAGCAACCCTCGCTCGCTCCCTCTGCATGCTTCACAACCGAAAACCACCCTCCACCTGCTCATCAGCTCCCTTCCTTCTCTACTCTTTCTGCTCCCCTGCGCTCCACGCCCTTCCATGCGCTCCACGCCCTTCCATGCGCTCCACGCCCTTCCATGCGCTCTGCTTGTGCTCTGTCTACGTGTGATGTGCTATTCCCCACAGGTGCAATTCAAGGACCCCAGGCTCATGGATAACTCGTACTGGGCTAAGGTGAGAGGGGCTGGTGCATGGAGGGATGGGCATGGGCATGAAGCGATGAAACGTGGGTGTCGAAACAGGTGCGATTCAAGGGCCCTCGCCTCATGGATAACTCGTACTGGGCTAAGGTGAGCGGGGCTGGTGCAAGATGGTTGATTGATTCCTGACATGGGGGTTGGAGCACGGTGGTTGGGGCATGGAGGGATGTGACATGGGTGTTGGCTCAGGTGCAATTCAAGGTCCCCAGGCTCATGGATAACTCGTACTGGGCCAAGGTGAGAGGCTGGGGCATGGGTGTTGTGTTGGGGGGCATGCGTGTTGGTGCATGCGTGTTGGTGCTTGGGTTTTGGGGCTCGTGAATATGAAGGGATGTGACATGCATGTTGGCCCAGGTGCAATTCAAGGACCCCCGGCTCATGGATAACTCCTACTGGGCTAAGGTGAGTGTGGCTGAGGCATGGTGGTATGGGCATGGGCGTGGGTAAGGCGAGCGAGTGAAATGGGGGTAGTTGGATGGCCGTGGTGCAGCTCTAGGACCCCAGGCTCATGGATAACTCCTACTGGGCTAAGGTGAGAGGCATGGGTGTTGGGGCACAGACAGCAAAGCAGCATGGAAGTTGGAACATGCGTGTTGCCTCAGGTGCAATTCAAGGATCCCCGGCTCATGGATAACTCGTACTGGGCCAAGGTGAGAGGGGCTGAGGCATGGTGGGATGGGCATGGGTAAGGTGAGCGAGTGAAATGAGGGCAGTTGAATGGCCATGGTGCAATTCTAGGACCCCCGGCTCATGGATAACTCATACTGGGCTAAGGTGAGAGGGGGTGGGGCTGGGAGGGATGGGCTTGGTTGTTGGGGCATGGGATAGTGTGTCTCTCCCATCTCTCCCTCCCATCTCTCCATCCCATGCCGCATGCTCCCTCCCATGCCTCATTCTCCCGCCCCTCCCATCTCCATTCCCGCTAACATTCCCTTAATCCCTGCCACGTGTTCCTCCCATCCCATGTGTGCTTTGTGCCAAGCAGAGTGGGGCGGGCAGTGGATGGGGTGCCAAGGCCCAGGAGGTGCTAGGTCAAGTCAGGGGCAGGTGAGAACAACAGAGACGTGTCTGGGGCAGGTGAGAACAACAGAGACGTGTCTGGGGCAGGTGAGAACAACAGAGACATGGCAGGGGCAGGTGATAACAACAGAGACATGGCAGGGGCAGGTGATAACAACAGAGACATGGCAGTGGCAGGTGAGAACAGCAGAGACGTAGCAGAGGCAGATGAGAACAACAGAGACGTGGCAGAGGCAGGTGAGAACAACAGAGACATGGCAAGGCAGGTGAGGACAACACAGACATGGCAAGTCAGGTAAGAACAGCAGAGACATGGCAGCAGGTGAGAACGACAAAGTCATGTCAGGGGCAAGTGATTACATCATAATGTATACGCAGTGTGTCTTGTGTAGTTGTGCTGTTGTCGTGTAACGCTGTGCTGTGGCTTGTCTTGTTTTGTCCAACACACTAAATGCATCCTTGTTTCTTGTTCTTGGTGTTCCCGTATTCGTGGCACCTGTAACATGCGGTTACCACAGGGGGTTCCGGCACGAGAAGACGAAGAAGAAGAGGGGCAGCTACAGGGGCGGGGTCATCGACCAGGAAAGCCACTCCATCAAGTTTGCTGATTCTGACGACGAGTGATCGCTGCATGCCATGTGCCTCGGAACATTAGAGGCGCCTCAAAAGTCCTACAGGGGCGGGGTCATCGACCAGGAACGCCATTCCATCAAGTTTGCTGATTCTGATGACGAGTGATCGCTGCGTATCGTGTGCCTTGGAACATATTTGGACCAAGATTATGGGTATTTGTCAAATATTATTATCTGTTATAGGTTGTAGTGAGGTGCTCCTTATTGAGTACAACTCAGTTAGGGTTTCATATTTGTACTGCCTTGCTTTCCTAGTCACATCATTCCGCTGTATTCTATTTCTGAGATGGTATCACGAGTAGGTTTAGAATCCTTGCGCCTACCTCGCGCCCTCCGCGCCCTAGAGCGCCTCCGCGCCTTACGCGCCCTCCGTCATGCGCTCTAGCGCCCTCTGCGCCCTCGCGCCCTCCGCGTTCTAGAGCGCCTCCGCGCCTTACGCGCCCTCCGTCACGCGCCCTAGCGCCCTCCGCGCCCTAGCGCCCTCCGCGCCCTAGCGCCCTCCGCGCCCTAGCGCCTTCCGCGCCCTAGCCTCCCGTCGCGCGCCTCCGCGCCCTCCGTAACGCGCCCTCCGTAACGCGCCCTCCGCGCCCCCCGCGCCCTCCGCGCCCTCCGTAACGCGCCCTCCGCGCCTCTGCGCCTAGCCCTCCCCTACGCGCCCTCCACGCCCTCCGTATCGCGCCTCCGCCCCAACCCGTCGCGTCGCCCCTGGCCCCTGCCCCAGCCCGTCGCGTCGCCCGTGCGCCCTGCCCTAGCCCGTCGCGTAGCCCGTGCGCCCTGCCCCAGCCCGTCACGTCGCCCGTGCGCCCTGCCCGAGCCCGTCGCGTCGCCCGTGCACACTGCCCCTAGCCCGCGCGTCGCCTGTGCGCCCTGCCCCTCGTACGTAGCCCGTGCGCCCTGCCCCTAGCCGCCCCGCTGGCCCCACGCCCAGCCAGCTGCGCACGCCCCTGCTACAGCCAGCGCGCGCCCCTTACCACAGTCCGCGGGCGCCCCGTACCCTGCCCGCGCGCGCCCCCCACACCACAGCCCGCGCGCGCCCCTTACCCAGCCCGCACGCGCCCCATACCACAGCCCGCGCGCGACCCCTCCCTAGCGACGTGCGCACCACAGTTAGCCAGAGTAGCCTGAGGCGCGCGCCACGACAGCTTTCCCGAGGCGCGTGCCACGCTCTACCGCGCCTCGAGCCTTAGCAGACCGTTTCGGGCTTTCTCACCGTCGGTTTTCCTGTTCCCTACCGTACCTCCACTGGGTTCACCGTTCCGCCGCGGCTGGAGGCCGCTACTCCTTGGCCTGTTTTCTCCTGGCGCTCCTAGCTCAGTGTGCTCCGTGCTCCATCCGTTCCTCGCCTGGTTTCACCTGGCGCTCCTAGCTCAGTTTGCTCCGTGCTCCATCCGTTCCTCGCCTAGTTTCACCTGGCGCTCCTAGCTCAGTTTGCTCCGTGCTCCGGCCGTTCCTCGCCTAGTTTTACCTGGCGCTCCTAGCTCTGTTTGCTCCGTGCTCCAGCCGTTCCTCGCCTAGTTTCACCTGTCGCTCCTAGCCTGCCGCTCCTGAACCCCGCTAGCCTTTATCATGGCGTCCACCAGGGTTCTCCAACAGCAGTGGCAGTTTCAGCAGTGGCACCCGCAGCAGCAGTGGCGTTCTCAGCAGCAGCTCCGCCCTCAGCAGCTGTGGCGCCCTCAGCAGTCGTGGGGGCCTGGTGGTTCGAGTAGCGTTGGCTGCAGCAGCGGCCCAGCCAGCTGGGGGGCTCGTCGCGGTGGCCGCGACGTCGGCCCCTGCCAAGCAGCCTCCAGGATCTTGAGATTAGGTTGGTTAGCTGCCTCATCAGGGAAGATGTAGTCGTAATACTCCTCGAACCTGCCACACACACAAAACAGATGAAAAAGGCAAACAATGTTGAAACACGTATGAAATATGTATGTTTGTAGACGCTTCATGTGGGAAGATGTAGTCATAATACTCCTCGAACCTGCCATAGATGGACGGAATGGCACACTCGTCAGTTACCGTAGCAATAATGGGCGGCAAAGCACATAGAGAATGACATGAGGGGATAATGATAGCTGGGAAAATTATGAGTGCTCGTACAGTGAGGCCCCCATACACAGTATCATGTTGGACAAAGAGAAAAAAAGACAACCCTTATGGGTGCTTGCACATAACGAATTTGCACATAATGAGTATGCACGCACCCAGCGGGAGTGCCATCCTCCGTGGTGATTGGCCGCTTCCTCTTCACGCGACGTGGCATCTTCTTCTCGACCAATCCCGGGTCGCCATTCACGCCCGCCGCCCGCTCCATCTCCCGCCACGCCTCCAGCAGCATCACCCGCTCCTCCTTCTGGTCGGCGGCGTTCGTCCTCATGTGCTCAAACGCCCGCTCGTACACCTCTGAAAGGACGGGGCAGGCAGGGAAGAGAGAACACCAGGAAATCAGACATAGATCAGATTCAGCAGTCTTTTAATTCTACAAATTTCAGAAGCAACGAACTTGCGAGGATCAAATGCACCATAACCCATGCAGCGTACCCCCTGGTAACCCGGTCCTTGGACTGCTCTGCCAGCACCAGCTCGTCCGCCTCTCTGCGCTCCTCTGTTCACACTGCCCCCTTGTACCTGTAGCCCCCACCCTACACCCCACAATACAGAATACCCCAAACGCCGCACCACAGTACCTCTGGCCCTGGTGACCCGATCCTTGCACTGCTCTGCCAGCACCAGCTCATCCGCCTCTTTGCCCTCCTCCTCATGTGCTGACACTGTTGTCATTCTACACCCAACACCCCACACCCCACGTTACAATAGACACCACCGTACCTCTGGCCCTGGTAACCCGATCCTTGCACTGCTCTGCCAGCACCAGCTCGTCCGCCTCTCTGCCCTCCTCCTCCGCCTTGATCTCCTCTTCAACAGCCACCTGTGCCTCAAACTGCCCGTAGCTCATCCACACCTGTGGGAGATCGGAGGGAATGGGGGGCAGCAGGCAACAAAGGCGGGGAATCAGTGCTTGAACCCCCTGCCCTCCCAGCTCGTCCGCCTCTCTGCCCTCCTCCTCTGCTCGTATCTCCTCCTCAACAGCCACCTGCGCCTCAAACTGCCCGTAGCTCATCCACACCTGTGGGAGAAAGGCACGTCAAGGAGTAGAAAGGGGAGAAAGGCACGTCAAGGAGTGGTGTGGCGAGGTGTGTCTCTTGACGCGCTTGGTTCGCTCCAGCAGCCGCTCATGCAGCTGCCTTGTGCTTTTTTCTTAATATGTTGACGATGTACCAACAAGAAGCATTACACACCTTGACGTGCTTGGTTCGCTCCAGCAGCCGCTCATGCAGCTGCCAGCCAGCCTGCCGCGTGCGCTCATCCACGCGTGCCGCGGATCCTGACCGGCCCTGGTGCTGGCACTACCTGCTGGCGTCCTGACCACTCTGCACAGCGCTGCTACAGTCGCCTCGACGACCTCTACCGTGAGCGTTTTGGGCCTGAGTCGGCTCCCCCGATCCGGCCCGGTCTGTTTCGTAGTGGTTACCCTGTGTTTGATATGTCTATGGATGCTGTTTATTCTGTCACGTATGGATCTCTTGGCTTGCGTGTACCTAGCTTAGGACCTTTGCCTGTTGCTAGTGTAGGTACTTGTGCTTTTAGTGTAGGTGCTTGTGTAGTCACTAGCCCAACCGTGACGACTGCTGTTGCGTCACTCTCCTTCACGCTGGACTCCGGCGCGTCTCAGTGCTTCTTCCACGACCACACCACTATCACACCTCTTTCAACTTCAGTCCCAGTTGCCCTGGCTGATCCTACTTCAGGACCAGCAGTTGCTCGCAGCTGGACCACTCTCCCGTGCCCAGCTGTCCCCTCTGGTTTCCTCACTGGTCTCTACATCCCCTCGTTCTCTCGGAACTTGGTGGGTGTTGGATACCTTCAGGACCGAGGGATCAAAGTCTCTTTTCCTGCGCACGGGAGGACTGCGATCTGTACGGACTCTTCCACCGGGGCAGTTCTTGCCACGTTCACCAGAGAGCCCCACTCAGGTCTCTTCGTCCTGCACACTCCGCCCCCGCAGGTAGCTGCGTCTTGTCAGGTTGCTTCGTCCCCCCGGTAGCAGAGTCCGGTCAGGTTACTGCGTCCCCACAGGTTGCTGTGTCCGGTCAGGTTGCTGCGTCCGGTCTAGTTGCTGCGTCTTGCTCCTGTCGGTCCCTAGCCCACCCGACCGTCTTGTGGCACCACCGCCTTGGCCACCCGTCACTCCCCCGCCTCTGCAGCATGGCCAGTCACAGTCTTGTCTCAGGTCTCCCGTGCGTCTTTCCGTCGCTCCCCCCCTCGCTTGCTCCACCTTGCACTCCTTGAGTCGACGGCCGCCTGCGCGCCACTCCGCACTCCTCCTCCCTTCGTCCGGCCATTGCTCCCTTCCATACTCTCCACCTGGACGTCTGGGGCCCTGCCCCTACGCTCGGACCTGAGAGGGAGCGCTACTTTCTAGTCGTCGTTGACGACTACTCCAGGTACACCACGGTGTTTCCTCTCGCGAAGAATTCCGAGGTGACTTCTCCGCTGATCCGGTGGCTTCTGGCCACTGAGGGCACTCGTGGTAGTCGTGTCCGTTGTCTCCACTCCGACCGTGGGGGTGAGTTTCGCTCCGGCGTCCATGCCGGGTTCTGCGGCGAGCAGGGCATCAGACAGTCCTGGACACTGCCGGAGTCCCCACAGCAGAATGGGGTTGCTGAGCGCCGCATTGGATTGGTCATGGACATCGCCCGCACGTCCATGATCCATGCCCGTGCGCCCCATTTTTTGTGGCCCTACGTGCTGCGCTACGCCACGCACCAGCTGAACCTCCAGCCGCGCGTCTCGCGGCCAGAGGTTTCATCGACCCGTCTTAGGACCGGGTCCCCTGGTATTGGGTCGGCCTTTCGTGTCTGGGGCTGCCTTGCACTTGTCCGCGACACCTCAGCGGACAAGTTCTCGGCTCGCGCCATCCCCTGTGTCTTCCTTGGTTTCCCGGTGGGCTCTCCCGACTACTCCTTTTACCACCCGCCCCTCCACCAATTTCTCGACTCTCGTGATGTCCGGTTTGACGAGTCCGTGTCCTACTACACCCGTTACCCCTGTCGAGGTCTCCCGGTTCCCCCTTCCCCCCACTTTCTCGCACCCTCTCCTCCCCCTGCTCCCGCTCCTCCGTACCCCCGCCCCCCCCTGGTCCTGCCCCGTCAGGTGTGTGTCACGCTACCCCTCTAACCTCGGTCGCGCGTCAGGTAGCGTCTCCCTCCCCGCAGTCCTCCTCACAGTCCCCTCAGCAGCCTTCGGCACTTCCGCGACAGGTTCCTGTGAACTCAGGTGGTGTTGAAGCTGGAGGTGCAGCCACTGGCGGTACTCGGTCTGGGGGCGCTCATTCGAGGGGTGCTGGAGTTGGAGGTGCTGGCGCCAGTGGCGCTAGTCCTGGGGGTGCTGGAGCTGGAGGTACTGGCACTGGAGGTGCTAGTTCTGGGGGTGCTGGAGCTGGAGTTGCTGGCGCGGGTGGTGCTAGTTCTGGGGGTACTGGAGCTGGAGGTACTGGCGCTGGTGGTGCTAGTTCTGGGGTGCTGGAGCCGGAGGTGCTGGCGCTGTAGGAGCTAGTGCTGAGGAGGTTGGAGCTGAAGACACACCTACTGCGGCGCCTACTGCGCCTCCCCACCGCTACGACACACGTCTCCAGACTCTTCGCCGGCTTGAGCGCGAGGAGGAGGAGCGGTTGGAGCAGGAGAGGCAGGAGCTGCAGCGGTTGGACCAGCAGCAGCAGAAGCAGCAGCAGCAGCAGCAGCAGCAGCAGCAGCAGCAGCAGCAGCCACCGCAGCCGCCACTTTCACAGCACCTGTTCCCTCCAGTGAGTGGCCTTCGGGCCCTTGGTCTTCCTTCCTCTCCTCCTGTCCATTCACAGTCTCCTACCGTGTACGGTCCTACGTTTCCTCCTCCGGACTCGACTCCGGCTGTTTTCTCTCCTCCTCACTCACAGGCATCTCCTCCTGTTGTCCCGCACGAGTGGACCAGTCGTTGTCCTCCACGTGCTCGGCCCTCGTCTCCACTTGCCGACCTCTGCACTGTCTTGTTTCGTTCTAGTCCTTGTCGTTCTCCGCCAGTGTCTGTTCTCCCCTCACCTCCTGAGTCGTCTCTCACCGTCTCCTCTCACCCCATCACTTACTACTACCGTGCTGCTCGCCATGTTGTCACACGTGTTCTCGCCTCTCTTGTCACCGAACCTCGTGCATCTCCGTCGTCTATCTCGGCTTTTACTGCCGCTGTCACTTACTTTGCTTCCACCCGCCGTCTTGACTACGCCACGCGTGTGGTGGCTGCTCCACCTCCCCGTCCTCTGTCCGTCGGGGGTGAGTCTGCCCTTGGCTGTGACGTCCTAGAGGACAGGCAGTTTGAGCTGGAGTTCTTGGCAGCCGCTTCCCCCTCTCTCTGCGCCATGCTGCTTTCCCCTGAGGGAGACCCCGACGCCCTTGACATACCGACTCCTCGCACGTACCGTGAGGCAGTGTCAGGGGAGTGGGCCTCTCAGTGGAAAGCGGCTATGGACTCAGGGTTAGCGTCTTGGAGATCCACAGGCACTTACGTCGACGCAGTTCCCCCTCCCAGGGCGAACGTTGTCGATGGCATGTGGCTCTTCAAGGTGAGGCGGCCGCCTGGATCATCGCATGTGTTCAAGGCGCGCTACGTGGCTAGGGGTTTCAGTCAGCGTGAGGGAGTTGACTTCTTCCGAACCTTCGCTCCGACCTCGAAGATGACTACTCTTCGGGTGTTACTACACGTCGCAGCACAGCGAGACTACGAGCTGCACTCCCTTGACTTCTCCACTGCGTTTCTCCAGGGCCGCCTACACGAGGAGATCTGGCTGCGCCGTCCTCCTGGCTTCACTGACACCTTCCCACCTGGGACCCAGTGGAGCCGGAAACGACCAGTCTACGGTCTCCGCCAGTCGCCCCGTGAGTGGAACGACACTCTTCGCTCCACGCTTCGTGACCTTGGGTTTCGTCCTTCCTCTGCCGACCCGTCGCTGTTTGTTCGCGCTGGTTCCACTCCTTTCTTTATACTAGTTTACGTCGACGACTTGGTCTTTGCTACAGCAGACAGGGCAGCTCTGGCTGAGGTGAAGTCCGACCTGCAGAAGTGACACACGTGCACTGTCCTCGGTGAACTGTAGCGCTACCTTGGCCTGCAGATCACCAAGGACAGAGCCGCTCGCACCATCACATTGACTCAGTCACACATGGTGCAGCAGGTCCTTCGGCGGTTCGGTTTTCAGTTCTCCACCACACAGCTCACTCCTCTTGCCGTTGACCACCGACTCACTGGCCCTTTTCCCGGTGAGCCCTTTGAGTCTAGTGGTCCCTATGCAGAGCTTGTGGGCTGCCTCATGTACCTGATGACTTGTACTCGGCCGGACCTCGCCTTTCCCCTCAGCGTCCTCTCTCGCTTTGTTGCAACTGGGAGACACCGTCCTGTTCACTGGACAGCTGCTGTGAGGGTGGCGAAGTACCTGGCGACTACATCAGGCATGGGGCTTGTGGTTGGAGGGACACAGCCAGTTGTGTTGACCGGTCACTGCGACTCTTCCTACGCTGACGACGTGGAGACTCAGCGTTCGACTCAGGGTTACTGCTTCAGTCTGGGTGCTGGTGCTGTGTCGTGGAGGTCTACACGGTCGTCGTCTGTGGCTTCGTCCAGTGCAGAGGCAGAGATCTACGCTGGTGCCATGGCGGCACAGGAGCTTCGCTGGTTGACCTTCTTGCTCACCGACCTTGGTGAGCGGCCTCGCTCTGCACCGACCTTGTATGCTGACAACAAGGCCATGATCCTACTGTGTCGAGAGCCTCGACTGGAGAGGAGAGTGAAGCATATTGACGTGAGGTATTTTCTCCTTCGAGAGCTACAGCGACGCGGCCAGGCACGCTTGGACTTTGTGGCCTCAGAGGCAAACACTGCCGACGTTTTCACCAAGGCCTTGGCGCCTGGTGACCACCACGGGTTCTGTGTGCAGCTAGGGCTTGTTGAGGTAGGCCCACGGTTTCTGTAGTGTTGCTCTTGTTGCGTGTTCTGTTTGTCATTGCCTTTATATATATTGTGCTCTCTTGAACTGGCCTTGTGGCCGCTTGCTTGTGCTCGGAATTTGTGTGGTGTCCTTGAGATCCACTGTGAGCTTGCTTTGCTTCTTGTGTTGACTGGTCTTGTGACCGTTTTTTCACCCTGCTTGCTTTGATGCCCCTCACTTAGCCTATGGGGGTGTGTCAAATGTTATTATTTGTTATAGGTTATAGTGAGGTGCTCCTTAGTGAGTACAACTCAGTTAGGGTTTCATATTTGTACTGCCCTGCTTTCCTAGCCACATCATTCCGTTGCATTCTATTTCTGAGTATTGCAGTAGGGATGGGTGGAATACTGTGACTAATGAATGTGCTCCAGTTGCCTGGTTTGGGCTAGCTTTTATGTGTTCAATTGTCTAACATTTTTGGTTGGGTGACTACTGGGAAATGCAGGGTAAAATTTGCCTTGCAAGTGGTTAGGTTAATGCTGCTGACTCACTAGAATGCTAGACATCGTTATTTGTGGGATGAGAACATGTGCTTTAATTTGTTGTCGAGACAGGAGTTACTGATAGTGTTGGAGACATTCAAAACTATTTAGCGCTCCATTGCATAACGAAACACTCTCCCGACCTAGAATACCATTTTGGAAAGGCCTGAGGTGAGAATCATGCGGATAGTGTATCATGCGAAAAATGGTGGATGCTGTGGGCCGTCCACTGCCAGCACACCTGCCACGTCATTCCCAGGGCCTTGGCCTCGCAGCGCAGCGCACTGCAACTGGGTAAGCCGACAAACTCCCAACAACCTGACTGTTGTCAGGGAGGATCCCCCCACATGCGACAGTTACTGTACTGCATTCGAGAGTCATCTTTCGTAGCTCGACGTTGAAATCGCATTGAATGGTAACCAGTTGAAACAAGATTCGAGGGGAGCCAGGGAGTTGGGCCGGGAACTAGCTACGAACATGTGATCTCTCATAGGGCGCGTGCGAACTCGTGAATTGCAAACTGTTTCACTTCCAGTTTCCGTTGAAATTCTGGGTTCTCTGGCAGCAGACCAGAAGATTTTAATGCCGTGACTCAGAGAAGGGGAAGAGTTCAGCAGCGGATTAAAACATAATCCGCGACAATCCTCCAATTGTTTATTCCTACTGTTCGTCCCACCTTGAATGCGACCCACTTCGGAATGGACTGCGTTATTTTTCGCCCTGGATGAGTCCTCATCATTCCCGATGGGCTCACTGATGGGGCATGGATAAGGGCTTATCATGGATAAAGTGTTCATTTCACTCCCGTAACCAGCCAGCTCGGTGAGTTCTTTTGCGTGGTCTTCTGAGGTTTAGAACGGTTAGGTAGGGTGTTGAGCGAAAGCGATACATCACATGAGCTGGCTGGAACGACATTCCGAAAGTAAAAACGTACGAACCCACTTATCTCGGACGTTCTGCTTGGGCTTCCGCTTGCGGAAGTCATAGATGATTAGCTAGCTTCCAACATCCTCCTGGGTGGTCTCAATGCATGTCACGATCGTAAGTCAGGGTATCGCTGTGAGTAGTACGCGTATGTAGTGTCAAATAACGCGTGTTGTTAACTCTTTTAAAATGCAGACTCTGCGGCTCGTCGCGTCATAGGCAGACTATTTATCCGTGAGCGAACTTCGACTATAGCCATTACATTGGCAAGGTATGAAAATAATGTTTGTATCAGATTCGTTCGCAAGGTGACGTAGTCAGTAACCTCGTAACATTTCGCATTCCGATAGCCATGGTGGCGAACCGATTGGTAACAGCTCAGCTGTATTGCAGCCTCGTTTACAGTGACGTTTAGAATAAACTTCACGAGTTACATTGTTACATCTAATTGTCATAATGTCGAAGCGAGTCGTGGCAGTACCGCGGTACTCCAGCCTCGACTCGGGGGACTTCCGCCGAACCCGCTCCCAGGGGGCTCCGCCAGCCGTGGACTCGCGGAACTGTTCCGCGGATACGCGCACGTCGTCCGCCGATATGCGCAACCCTTCCGCGGATATGCGCGGGTCTCCCGCCTATTTGAAAGGACAAGGCGGAACCAATCAGTGTCATTCCCGCGCACAGAATCAGGGTCAGGGCCAGGGACCAATGAGAATGAATCGATCGCGGAGCCACCAATCAAGTTCTGACGACTACCCGCAATTCTCGGCGGCAGAACTGGCAGAAATTGAACACGAGATCGCTAGGTCGACCGTTAAAGTCGTTGCCTGGTTTCGCCGATCCGAGTGCGACGGTGCTGACGTGTACTTTCTCCCTCCCCCCGGCGCAACCCCGTTTAACAGCGTCGGTGGAATAGACCCTTCATTAGTCAAGCCTGCCACGTCAGCATTCCCAGGATCTTGTAGCGCAGGGAGCAGCGCAGCGACCAAGAGATTGCCGCCACGTTGGACAGAACATGCGGCTGAAAAGAGTTCAGGATATGGGAGAAACCCGAATTCCCACTCACAGGATTGGGGGAGCAGCAAACCCCCTCCTCCCCTAGACTCTAAAAAGGCTACCCCGGGTAAGAAAGCTAAGGAAAAGAGCCGGGGAGAGAGCGGAGCTAGCGGGAAAGGCGGGAAGGCGGGGGGAGGGGCGCGGGGCGCGGACGAGACGAACCGCAAGGCGAAAGCGCTGCTAGAGACGTCTGTGGAACGGCGGTTGGTGCGGTCTAAGAGCGCTGTGGGGAAACAGCAGCAGGCGGGGAAGGGGGGCGCGGGGGGAGGCGGGGTGGGGGGGCAGAGCCCCGGGGGTGGCGGAGCAGGGGGAGCGTCGGGGGAAGGGGGAGCGGGAGTAGGAGCAGGAGCGGGAGGGGGAGGCGGAGGGGGGAAGGGGAAGAAGCGCGAGGAGGAGAGTGAGGGGCTAGGGTTGCGGAGGTCTCACTCTGAGGACCGACGGGGGTTGCATGTGGGGGAGGGCGTATATGCCAAGGCGCTGAGATTTCTTCCTAAAGGGCTGGGCTTCGGGCGAGATAGCACTGTAACGAGTAGCGGGGATGGGGCTAAGACTCCTGGAAAAAAGAAGCAGCAGGAGAAACAGCAGGCGCAGCAGCAGCAGCAGCTAGAGCAGCAGCAGCAGCAGCAGCTGGTGCAGCAGCAGCAGCAGCAACGGAACGAGGACTGGAGACGAGGTAGCAGGGATGAAATGGATGAGGAGGAGAGGGAAGAGGGAGGAGAGGAGGGGGAGAGGGGGAGGGGAGGAGAAGGAGAGGAGGCGAGTGAGGATGGGGGTTGGCGGAATGAAGGGGGCGAGCAGGGGCAGGAGAGGGGGAGAGTGCAGGCGCACGGAGGGGAGGAAGATGAGGGTGGGGAGGAGGACCGAGAAGTCTATGGGGAGGAGTTGGACGAGAGGAGAGAGGAGGAAGGAGAGGAGGAAGGAGAGGAGGAGGAGGGTTACCGAAGAAAGGACGAGAGTAAGGGGAGGAGAGAGAGGGACTACGGTGGTGAGGGAGGGGAGGAGGAGGAGAAAGGGGACAAGGAATGGGGGGAGGAGGGGGATGGAGGAGGGGAGAGTGATGGAGAGAGGGACGAGAGAGGGGAAGCAGCTTCGGCTTTCGCCAAGGGGAGCAGAGGATTCGGTGGGGCCAGTCACGCGGCGACAGCCTGCAACGATGACCTTTATGGTGATTTTGACGATGACGATGATTACGGTGAGGAATCTCCTTTCCGGTCGCCTTATAACGAGGATTTTCGTAGCAGGATGGCAGGGCGGGATGGGAGCTCTGCGGAACGTGATTCGAGGTCGGATGGGGGTTGGGATGAGTATGGGGAGGAGTATGGGGAGGAGGATGGGAGGGGGGGGAGGGAAGGGAAGGAAGGGAGAGAAGGGATGGAAGGGAGAGAATGGAGGGAAGGGAGGGAAGGGATGGAGGGACAGAGAGGGAAAGATGAGAGGGAGGAGGAAGATCAGGAGGAGGAGGAGGAGGAGCAGGAGGAAGAGGAGGACGTTTTTCCAGTAGCCACGCCCCCTGCTCTTGCAAGAAATTTGACTAAGGAAAAGCAGATGCAAGGCCAAAAATTGCAGAAGCAACAGATGCGGCAAGGGCAGCAGCAGCAGCAGAGGGAGGAAAAGGAGGAGGAGGAGGAGGTGGAGGAGGGGGAGAAGGAAAGAGATTTGTGGGAAGAGGAAGACGAGAAGGAGGATGAGGAGAGGGATCCATGGGAGGAGGAGGACAAGGGGGGTGAGGAAAGGGATGCGTGGGAGGAGCAGCCGTCACAGAAGCAGCAGAAGAGGCACGGGCAGCAGCAGGTAGAGTTGGAGGAGGAAGAGGATGAGAAGGAAAGGAAGTTATGGGAAGTGGAAGAGGAGAAGAAGGATGGAGAAAGGAATTTATGGGAGGAGCAGCAGGAGAAGGATAAATGGGGTGAACAAGAAAACGACGAATGGGGCCAGCAGCGAGAGCAAGAGCGAGGGAAAGGGCAGAAGCAGCAGCAGCAGCAGCAACAACGAAGGCAGCCACAGCAAGAGGCGCAAGGGGAGGGGTATCAAGATGGCGTTTACAGGAAGAATGGGTTTAGGGCAGCAGCCAATGGGGGGTATAACGAGGGCGATTGTTACAATGACTCTAACGACCATGCTTATAACGAGGACGACAGTTTCAATGACAGCAAGAGCTTTGATAGAACCGAGTCTTACAATCAGAACGAGGGTTACAATAGGAGTAGGGGTTATAATGGAGACGGGGTGTACAGTGGTGAGGATGTGGGGAGAATGAGAAGAGAAGATGAGAGAGAAGGGGAGGGAGAAGAGGAGGAGGAGCATCGTGATTTGGATGATGATGAGGAGGAGGAGGAGGAAGACGAGGACGATTCTGATGATGATGATGTTGCGATAGCTGTAGCTGCAGATGCCATAGCCCTCGATGTGAACGGGCGCGAGCATGGGATGGGGGAAAGAAACGCTTACTCACACGCACAGGGGTTCCAGAAGCAAGGAAGAGATGAGTCAGGCGAGAGGGCGTGGGAGGTGGAGGAGGAGGAGGAGGAGGAGGAAAGGCGATCTTGGGTGGGTGGGCAGGAGGAGGGAGGGATGGATGGAGCAGGAGGGGTGAGTGGTGCTTTCAGGGAGTTAGGTAGTGGGATGGTGCAGGATGGGGAGGAGGAGGTGAAGGGGAAGGGCAAGAAGGAGAAAGCCAAGGGTGAGAAGGTTAAGAAGGTCAAGAAGAAAGTAAAGGAGGAGAAGGAGAAGGAGGGGAAGGAAGGGAAGGAAGGGAAGGAGGGCAAGGGGAAGAAAGTAGTAAAGATGAAAAAGCAGGTGAAGGAGAAGGAGGGGAAGGAGAAGGAAGGGAAAGAGAAGGAAGGGAAGGAGAAGGAAGGGAAGGAAAAGGAGGGGAAGGTTGAGAAGGTGAAGAAGATTAAGAAGAAGCTGCAACTGCAGCAGCCTTTGCAGCAGGAACGGGAAGAAGGGGAGGTTTTCGACCGTCAGATGGAGCAGCAGTACAAGCGATCTCAGTCGTTGGATCACGGCAAACATGCCGCCCAGCTAGCATCGGCCTCAGAGCATCCCCTGCCACACAATCTGAGCTTCGTGTCGCCGCCACATCATCATGCAAATCAAATCTCCACCCCGCACCGTGTCTCGCCGCCCAGTAACATCTGCATGCCGCCCCATCATGTCTCGCCGCCGGCCGATCGCGTCTTCCCGCCGCCCAATCACGTCTCCCCACCCCATTACGCCCCCATGCAACAACATGCGTCGCCGGCCAATCACATACCTCCAGCATACTACACGGCCCCATCGCCACGTCATCACGGCATGGGGCAAGGCATGGGGCAAGGCATGGGGCAAGGCATGGGGCAAGGCACAGGTTATGGCATGGAGCATGGGGTCGAAATGATGGCAGCAACGGGCAATCATGGCAGGATGGGGAGCGATATGAGCCAAGGCATGGGGCAAGGCATGGGCTATGGCATGGAGCATGGGGTTGGGATGGTGGCAGCAACAGGGCATCCGCAGCACGGCCGGATGGGGAGCGATATGAGCCATGGCATGGGGCACGAGCAGCAGGAATCCCAAACTCCCTATGGGTTAGGTATGATGGCAGCAGCAGGGCAGCATGGCACAATGGGGAGTGACATGAGTCATGGCATGGGGCACGAGCAGCAGGAATGCCAGGCTTCCTTTGAGCCACCTCAGAAAGCGTTCGGGGCGCAACGAACGGCTTTCGAGGTGCCTCCGAAGCAGGGGTGGGATTCGAGGGGTGGCGTGGGGGGGCATGGGGAGGAGCAGAGGCAGCAGATGGGGCTTGGGATGGGTGAGGAGGAGATAAACAGCGGTGGTGATGCACGGGTGGCGGACAGGTGGCGGAACGTGATTGGCCGGCCGTTGGAGCGGGTGGAGGAGAGATACGAGATGGTGGGGGAGGTGCTGGGGAGGGGGTACTTTGGTGATGTGGTAGTGTGTCGGGAGCGGCACACAGGAGAGTACATGGCGTGTAAAGTAATTAAGAAAGCAAACATCATGGTGAGAAGATTATTGTCATAAAGTTGTCATGTTACAAGTTTAGTTCTTTTTTATTTTCTTTTTCTTTTTTTCTTATAATTCGTGCTTCTTCATTTCAGTCTGAATCCACGGCCATGTTCATAAAGGATTCTGATGTACGAATGTCCTGGAATGGTGCGTGCATGTATGGTTCACATGGCATGACATGGCATGGTGCACGACATGCGGCACGGCATGTGTCATGGCATGCGGCACGGCATGTGTCATGGCGTGGGGCATGGCATGGCATGTGTTTGGATGGATGCATGGCACCGTGGCACAACATCAGAGCGAGGATGATGCAGAGGACGTGATGAACGAGGTGGCAGCATTGGACACGGTGCGAGGGCACCCCCATATTGTTCAACTGGTGGAAACAATAGAGGACGAACAGGTGGGTGGGTGCTGGGAAGGCAGGTAACTCATGAGTCGAGTCACAACGAGGTGGCAGCATTGGACACGGTGCGAGGGCACCCCCACATTGTGCAGCTGGTGGAGACGATAGAGGACGAACAGGTGGGTGGGTGCTAGATGGCAGTAGGGGACGAGGAGGTGGGTGCTACTAGGTGATGCAGAGGACGTGATGAAACAGGTGGCAGCACTGGAGACGGTGCGAGGGCACCCTCATATCTTGCAACTCGTGGAGACAATAGAGGATGAGGAGGTGGGTGACAGTCATATCTCGCCTTCTTGTCTCCGTCCCTTGCATCCCACTCTTGAATCTGGCGCCCGCTATATGTTCCCTGTCATCCCCCTCTCTCTCCCCCCAACCCCATTCCCCCCGGGCCATCTACCTGCGCCCTCTCATATTCCCCTTCACATTCCCCACCTCGACCTCCCCAGGCCATCTACCTCATTCTCCATCGCTGTGAGGGCGGCACACTGCAGCAGGCCGTCCGGAATCAAGGCTCAGGAGCTCACACATTTCTACCCCCTGTCCAACCCCACACCCCTCTCCCCACCATCCCCCCAGGCCATCTACCTCATCCTCGACCTCTGTGAGGGCGGCACACTGCAGCAGGCCATCTAGAAGCAAGACTTTGGAGCTCTCAAATCTCCCTTCATATATATCCCCTCCCCTCCTCATCCATCCCATCCCATCACCCCCGTCCACCCATCTACATTATGCTCCATCTCTGTGAGGGCGGCACGCTGCAGCAGGCCGTCTGAAACCAAGGATTGTGGAGAGATGTTAGAAGGTACGCCCTCACTTATCCCCCCTTCATACCCCCCCCATCCCATCCATCCCCCAGGCCATCTACCTCATCCTTGATCTCTGTGAGGGCAGCACACTGCAGCAGGCCGTCCGGAATCAAGGCTCAGGAGCTCACACATTTCTACCCCCTGTCCAACCCCACACCCCTCTCCCCACCATCCCCCCAGGCCATCTACCTCATTCTCGACCTCTGTGAGGGCGGCACACTGCAGCAGGCCGTCCGGAACGAGGGGCCCTTAAACGAGCGGCGGGCGGCGGCGGTTTGTCAGGGAGTGGCGGCGGCGCTGCAGTGGTGTCACGGGAGTGGGGTGATGCACCGCGATGTGAAGCCGGATAACATCCTCCTAGTCAGGCGGGGGGATGACTCTTATGTCAAACTCGCCGACTTTGGCATCGCCCTCTTCTTCCAGGAAGGTGAGACGCGATACCAATGCCAGAAGCAGGTGGTGCAGTGGTGTGAGGGAGGGTGATGCACCGCGATGTGAAGCCGGATAACATCCTCCTTGTCAGGCGCGGCGATGACACTTATGTCAAGTTGGCCGACTTTGGAATATCCCTCTTCTTCCAGCAAGGTGAGAGCTGCTTGTAAGGGACTGGCGCAGGGGGGCGTTGCAGTGGTGCCACGGGTGTGGGGTGATGCACATCACCGCGATGTGAAGCCTGATAACATCCTCCTTGTGCGGCGCAAGGATGACAGCTATGTTCAACTGGCTGACTTTGGCATATCCCTCTTCTTCCAAGAAGGTGAGATGCGGAAGCAGGTGCTGCAGTGGTGCCAGGGGAGTGGAGTGGGGTGATGCACATCACCGCGATGTAAAGCCCGACAACATCCTCCTAGTCAGGCGAGAGGGAAAGGGGTGTCACGGGAGTGGGGTGATGCACATCACTGGGATGTGAAGCCCGACAACGTCCTCCTTGTGCGGCGAGGGGATGACAGTTATGTCAAGCTGGCCGACTTTGGCATCTCGCTCTTCTTCTACCAAGGTGAGAAGCGATAGGAATGCTGGAATCCTGAACCCAAACCAAGAACTCACACACTCTTGGTCTTCCCAACCCAAACCACACACCCCTGCTCCTTTGCGGAAGATTTTCGTAGAATTTTATTAAGAATATACCCCTCCCCTGCTACCCACCCCTCCTTCCCCTTTCACATCTACAGGTGTGTCTTGCAGGGAGACGGTGGGGTCAGCACCGGAGATGTTGCAGCAGTCATACACCCACACAGTCAACGCCTGGTCGCTTGCTGAGCTGCGTGCTCCACTTCCTCCCACCCAACCCATCCAACCCTCTCTCCACCGTTCCCCACCCCTCCTCCTTCCCTTCAAATCTCCAGGTGTGTCCTGCAGGGAGACTGTGGGGTCAGCAGCCTTCATAGCACCGGAGATGCTGCAGCACTCCTACTCCCACACAGTCGACGTCTGGTCGATAGGCTGCGTGCTCTTCTTCCTTCCAAACCCACACAACCAACCCTCTCTCCTGCTCTCCCCTCCCCTCCTCCTCCTCCCCGCGTCCCCAGGGGTTCCCTGCAGGGAAACAGTCGGGTCAGCAGCCTTCATAGCACCGGAGATGCTGCAGCACTCCTACTCCCACACAGTCGACGTCTGGTCGATAGGCTGCGTGCTCTTCTTCCTTCCAAACCCACACAACCAACCCTCTCTCCTGCTCTCCCCTCCCCTCCTCCTCCTCCCCGCGTCCCCAGGGGTTCCCTGCAGGGAAACAGTCGGGTCAGCAGCCTTCATAGCACCGGAGATGCTGCAGCACTCCTACACCCACACAGTCGACCTCTGGTCCCTCGGCTGTGTGCTCTTCTTCCTCCTCGCGGGGGTAGTGCCCTTCCGAGGCGCCACCAAGGAGGAGACGTTTGAGCGAATCATGGAGTGCCACGTGGACAGGGCCATGCGGTTACCACCGTGGCCGCGGGTGTCCCCCGGGGCAAAGGACCTGGTGCGGCGGCTGCTAACGAGGGACCCCCGTGATAGAATCACCCTTGAAGAAGTTCTGTGTGAGTGAGGTTGGGAAATGTGAGTGTATGTGAGTAACTTTTGAGGTCTCTCAAAGGTGCCTCTCCCATCCCACCTGGTGCGGCGGCTGCTGACTCGGGACCCCCATGATAGAATCACCCTTGAAGAGGTTTTATGTGAGTGTGGCTTGGAGCAGGAGGGTGTGTGTGAGTGTGTGTGAGTCACTTTTGAGCATGTCTCAGGAGTGCCTCCCGGGGCGAAGGACCTGGTGCGGCGGCTGCTGACAAGAGACTCCCGTGACAGAATCACCCTTGAGGAGGTTCTATGTGAGTGAGACTTGAGACGTGTGAGTGAATGTTGAAACATGGGGCTCTGTGTGCGTGTATGTGAGTCGCTTTTGAGGGTTGTTAGCGGTGTCCCCCGGGGCGAAGGACCTGGTGCGGCGGCTGCTGACAAGAGACTCCCGTGATAGAATCACCCTTGAAGAGGTTCTGTGTGAGTGGGGCTTGAGGCAAGAGGGCGTGTGTGAGTGTGTGTGAGTGTGTGTGAGTCACTTTTGAGCATGTCTCAGGAGTGCCTCCCGGGGCAAAGGACCTGGTGCGGAGGCTGCTGACAAGGGACCCCCGTGATAGAATCACCCTTGAGGAGGTTCTATGTGAGTGAATGTTGAAACATGGCGCTCTGTGTGTGAGTGTGTGTGAGTCACTTGTGAGCATGTCTCAGGAGTGTCGCCCGGGGCAAAGGACCTGGTGCGGCGGTGAATTTCGAGAATCACCCTTGAAGAAGTTCTGTGTGAGTGAGAGTTGAGACTGGAGGGCGTGGGAGTTGAGACTTGAAGAAGTTATGTGAAATCAACACAGACAGCCATTCCCGTTGCATTGACCAAGCAATCTCCGTTGCCCCATCCCTCCCATGCCCCACAACCTTGCTCTCGTTTGTGCTGTTTCACCTTTGCAGGTCACCCATGGATCACCGGCAACTAGACTCACATGCAATGCAACCCCAACGCAGAGAGCGCATGCTGTATAGCTGTGAAAGGGTGGTGTGGTGTGAGTGGTGACAATACACAGTGTGTGGAACAAACAAACTGTACCTCCTGTTTATTGTGTGTGTTTGGGGTGAATTCAAAGCAATCATGTTTATTGGCTCCAGTGTGCACAAAGATGTGTGGTTATCCAATCAGATATGCACCATAGGCTTGTGGAAATACTGTAGTGCTTCAAATTACGTCAAAGATTTAAGGGTACATGTACAATGTAACAGAATAAGCACGAGATAACATCACATTGGTTCGTGACCCAGCTTCAGCCACTATGCACCTAACATCCAAAGCACCCGTCTAATGTCAATCCCAACCATGTGCAAGATTCTCCCCTCCCCAACCTCCCTTCTTCAAACAACCAGGCAATGCAAATTACCCACACCACGCGCACCTCCGTATCAAATCAACCGTCCACAACAGCCTTCCATCTCTTGGCAAAACCATACTGGCATGGCAGGCCTCCCAATTCCCCCAGCAAACCCCGTCCCCCCTGCTTCAAACAACCCCCCCAACAGCTCTCCCCTCCCCCATTGCTACGACGGCAGCGGAGGACAAGGGGAGAGGAGAGACAGACAGCAGCACAGCACGCATCAAGAAGCCTGGAAGAACCCAGCTGCAGCCTCCGTATCAACCATCCAAATCAAGCTCCCATCTCTTGGCAACACCACAGGAAGAGGTAGCACAACAGCCCGCATCAAGAAACCTGTAAGAACCCAGCAGCAGCCTTCGTATCAACCATCAGATCAGCCTCCCATCTCTTGGCAGAAACATAGTGGCAGGTAACCCTGTTCCCGCAGCAAACCCCGTCCCCCCTGCTGCGAACACTACTGGACGCCAATCAACCCCCAGGGAGAAACCCAGCAGCAGCCTCCGTATCAACCATCCAGATCAGCCTCCCTTCTCGTGGCAGAACCATACTGGCAGGTAACCCAGATCCCGCAGCAAACCCCGTCCCCCCTGCTTCAAACAGCCTCCCCAACAGCTCCCTCTTCCCCTCCCCCATTGCCACGACTGCAACCACCGCAGCTGAGAGCAGCACGGGGAGAGTCAGAGTGATTCGGCAAGGGGGAGGCTTGGGGGAGTCGGAGAGATGGCGGCACCAGTAGGGGGAAGGGGTGGAGGGGGAGGCGGGGGAGGAGAGGGAGGGGGATGGAGAGGAGGAGGAGAGGAGGGGGTGGGAGGGGAAGAGGGAGGCGATGTGGCCATCCGGTCCCACCCCTAGAAGGATGAAGTCGAATCTGGGGAAGGGCGTATCTGCACAACAGGACAAAAGGAGCAGACAGAAACAAGGTTGTGTGGGTTGAGACTTGAAACAATTTGGATAAGAGAGGCCACGTGACCGCCGGGTCCCACACCAAGGAGGATGAAGTCGAATTTGGGAAAGGGCGTATCTGCACAACAGGACAAATTGGACAGAGGCAGGGAGGTATGGGTTGAAACGATGGGGACGAGGGAGGCCACGTGGCTGTCCGGTCCCACACCAAGACGGATGAAGTCGAATCTGGGAAAGGGCGTATCTGCACAACAGGACAAAAGTGGAAGATGCAAGGTAGTGTGGGTTGAGATGACGGGGGTGAGGGCGTCCGAATGAGTCTGGTGCCACCCATCCCTTGAAGGAGACAGAAACAGCAGGCCTAGCAGGCATAGCAGGCATAGCAGGCCTAGCAGGTATAGCAGGTATAGCAGGTATAGCAGGTATAGCAGGTATAGCAGGTATAGCAGGTATAGCAGGTATAGCATGCCTAGCAGGTATAGCATGCCTAGCAGGTATAGCATGCCTAGCAGGTATAGCATGCCTAGCAGGTATAGCATGCCTAGCAGGTATAGCATGCCTAGCAGGTATAGTATGCCTAGCAGGTATAGCATGCCTAGCAGGTATAGCAGGTATAGCAGGTATAGCAGGCCTAGCAGGTATAGCAGGCCCAGGAGTCTAGCAAGCCTACCTGGGTGCATCAGGAGAACCCCAACATCCACACACTGCATCAGCTCGCGCTCATACGCCTTTGCTGCTGCTTCAACTGGGAGTGACGGAAACAGCATGCCTAGCAGGTATAGCAGGCATAGCAGGCCCAGGAGTCGAGCAAGCCTACCTGGGTGCATCAGCAGAACCCCAGAATCCACACACTGCTTCAGCTCACGCTCATACGCCTCTGCTGCTGCTGCTTCGACTGGGAGTGACGGAAACAGCATGCCTAGCAGACATCGAGCAAGCCTAGCAGGGCTAGCGGGATGAGCCCCCCGGGTGAAGATGAACAGGCCTGGCAGGTCGAGCAAGCCTACCTGGGTGGATCAGCAGAACCCCAGAATCTACACACTGCCTCAGCTCGCGCTCATACTCCTCTGCTGCTGCTTCGAGCAAGCCTAGCAGACCTAGGTGGTCAAACGAGCCTGGCAGGTGGAGTGGGCCTACCTGGGTGCATCAGCAGAACCCCAGCCTCCACACAGTGCGTCAATTCGCGCTCATGCGCCTCTGCTGCTGCTAGGAGTGGGATGGACAGAAGCTGCACACCCAACGAGTCGAGCAAGCCTACCTGGGTGCATCAGCAGAACCCCAGCCTCCACACACTGCCTCAGCTCACACTCATGCGCCTCTGCTGCTGCTTGGAGTGGGATGGACAGAAGCCGCACACCCAACGAGTCGAGCGAGCCTACCTGGGTGCATCAGCAGAACCCCAGAATCTACACACTGCTTCAGCTCACACTCGTACGCCTCTGCTGCTGCTTGGAGTGGGATGGACAGAAGCTGCACACCTAACGGGTCGAGAAAGCCTACCTGGGTGCATCAGCAGAACCCCAGAATCTACACACTGCTTCAGCTCACACTCGTACGCCTCTGCTGCTGCTTGGAGTGGGATGGACAGAAGCTGCACACCTAACGGGTCGAGCAAGCCTACCTGGGTGCATCAGCAGAACCCCAGAATCTACACACTGCTTCAACTTGCGCTCGTACTCCTCTGCTGCTGCTTGGAGTGGGATGGACAGAAGCTGCACACCTAACGGGTCGAGCAAGCCTACCTGGGTGCATCAGCAGAACCCCAGAATCTACACACTGCTTCAACTTGCGCTCGTACTCCTCTGCTGCTGCTTCCACTGGGAGAGAGTCATCGAGAGTGTGGATGTGGGCTGATGGAATGGGCACCTGGGTTGAAGACAGGGTAGTTGTGGGCATACAAGGCAAGGGGGGGTGTAAGAATCGTCTAGAGTGTGGATGTGGGCTGATGGAATGGGCACCTGGTGTGGAAGACAAATATACGTGTTTTGAGACGTCTCAAAACACGCTTACTCTCCCGCGGATTTTATATGGAGAAATTGTTTGTTGCTTGGAAAACAGGTTGTAACTTGCAAAAGTTACTTGTTCGTGCGAGGCTTCCGAAACACCAGCTGGCGAGTTGTGATTCAACAACGTTACGCCTCGAGGAGTGAAGACCTCAGCCCCTCGGTTTTTTCCAGGGTGTTGTGGATTGGCTGCCCAGATTTCAGCCACGGACAGTATTTGGAAATTTCTGTTTGACAAACCGCCAGGAGGGTGGCACCCAGCGGCGTTCTACATCCTGCCTAAACTCCATAAGAAGTTACCCGTGGGACGTCCGATTGCAGCTTCTCATTCATGGGTGACGACTAATGCGAGTCGATGGCTGGATGCGCAACTCAGACCGCTAGTTTTAAAACGAGCTACCTACCTGCGCGACTCTCTCGCACTGCTAGCGAAGCTGGAGACAACGGCCTTCCCGCCTCATATCCTCCTAGCTACCTACGATGTTACCTCGCTCTACCCCAGCATATCCATCGACCGAGGACTCGAAGCAGTTAGCAGTTTCTTGACGAGAGAAAACCCGCAGCTCGCTCAACCGCTCATGGCCCTTCTGGGTTGGGTTATGAGAAATTCCTTTGTGGAATTTGACGACCGGATGTACCACCAAGTGCAGGGGACCGCGATGGGAACTCCTGTCGTCGTTTGCTTCGCCATCCTGTTCATGAGTCGTCTCGATGAGCTGCTGAAGGAGAGATGGACCGGGGTGTCACCTTGTTACCACGTCCGATATATTGACGATGGCCTTATCATTTGGCCAGGCGCGCAGTCTGATTTGGAGGAGTACCTGCGCACCTTCAACGGCTTGGATCCGAACATTCGGATCACGTGGAACATCTCGGAACGTTCCGTGGATTTTCTGGATGTGGTTCTTCACAAAGGGCCTCGTTTCCACGAACGTGGTTTCCTAGACCTCGGTACTTACCAGAAACCGATGAATAGGTACCTATATCTCCCCTTCTCCTCCTTCCACCCGCGGCACTGTAAAGAGGGGTTCATCCGCGCCGAACTGCAGCGCTACTTGCTACGCTCGACCTCGGCGACGGCCTTCCGAACGACGAAGGTCGCTTTCTTCCAGCGACTTCGTGCCCGCGGTTACCCGCCAGTCTTCCTACGACCGATCTTCAACGGCGTCCATTTCGCACAACGTGCGACTCTTCTCACCAGCACCCTCGCTAACCAGTTACAACGACGAACATCTCCTCCTACACGCGGGCCCCTAGTCTTGAAGACGACCTACACACCTGTGTCGGCTCGACTCGGGCTAGGGGTAGTTTTGAGACGTCTCAAAACACGCTTACTCTCCCGCGGATTTTATATGGAGAAATTGTTTGTTGCTTGGAAAACAGGTTGTAACTTGCAAAAGTTACTTGTTCGTGCGAGGCTTCCGAAACACCAGCTGGCGAGTTGTGATTCAACAACGTTACGCCTCGAGGAGTGAAGACCTCAGCCCCTCGGTTTTTTCCAGGGTGTTGTGGATTGGCTGCCCAGATTTCAGCCACGGTTGTACCCAACCTCGATTGTTTCTTGATGGGTAGTTCTTGCTTAAGGGTTGCTCTTTCTGCTCTAGTTTCTTGTTCCGCTAGCACTGATGAAGGATTGACGGGGGTCTGTCCCAGTCGTCCGAAACATGTTTGCGTTTTAATCGTTGTAGTGGACTTAGAGCTCAGTTTCGATCTTGTTTTTTGAACTGGCAACACAAGAGTTTTAAACTCTACTGTTTTTCTTCTGCTAAAGAATTCTCCTAAGCTGCAGCTCGCCTAGTCTCATGGCTGAAGATACAAAGCATGGGAAGACAAATATACTGAGTTTGTGCGTGGTTTAAACCGCCTTAAAAGTGTGACCTTAAAATCTAGGCCAACTAAGCACACTGCTGGGGGGAATGGGAGCGCCTTGGATATCCAGTGCGTGTGCGCGAGCAGGTAGTTGTGTGAGGGGCATACGGAGTTTGTGAGTGTTTTCGTGGGGAATGGGAGCACCTTGGAGAGCCAGTGCGTGTGCGCGAGCAGGTAGTTGCTGTCAGGGTGCGTCAGTCAGGCTCACAAGCAGTGCGTGACAGGCATACGGAGTTTGTGAGTGTTTTCGTGGGGAATGGGAGCAGGTAGTTGCTGTCGGGGTGCGTTGGTCAGCGGGATGTTGTTGGGGTGGGTGAGAGGCTCACACACGATATGGCTCACACACGATATGGCTCACACACGATATGGCTCACACGCTCATGAGAGCAAGGGGCGCACCTTGGAAAGCCAGTGCGTGTGCGCCAGCAGGTGGTTGCTGTCAGGGTGCGTCAGAGGCACGCTGTTTAGGTTAAGTTAATGCCTGACAAACGTTTTACCTCACACACTGAAGGGGTTAAGGGACGCACCTTGGAGAGCCAGTGCGTGTGCGCCAGCAGGTAGTTGCTGTCGGGGTGCGTCAGAGGCACGGCCCGCTCGTCCACCCAGAACACGTGCCACCTGGACCAATCACAGCGCGCCGCGATATCTGGATGCGCCAGCTGGCTGGTTGGTGGGGGTTTGGTGGGGGTGAAGAAGGGGAGCGAAAGGGGGAGGGAGGGGGGAGGGGGAGGAGGTCAGGGAGGACTACATATATATATACATATATATATATGTATATATATTTGTTTTGTAAATATATGTATATATATATTAAATGTCTCAAAAATGGATTCATTCTCAGCAGAATCCATGGGAGGTGACTTTTGGATCCACTGTGTATGAGAAGTGTGACAGACGGGGGGTGGAGGATCGGCAGACATGCGAGCAACTCACCGAATTGGATCGTTCGTGACAGCTGGGCAGGTAACCTGCCAGCCTGGCAATGCCAGATCTTTGCTTACCCCAGGCATTTAACGACGGACCCCCCTGAAATGGCGATGGTGAAAGAGCCATGCGCGGCTATGGCTGCCTGAACGGGCAGATATAAAGGGGTGCGGATGGGCGAATGGGCAGATGGATGGGCGGATATGGGGGCGCTTCTGAGGCGCCTCAAAAGATGCTGACAGAGCCATGCGCTGCTATGGCTGCCTGGATGGGCGGATGGATGGGTGCGGGGACGGGTGGGGGGATGGATGGGGGGATGGGTGGGGGGATGGGTGGGGGGATGGATGGGGGGGTGGAGGTGGGGTGAGAATAATGAGATGTGATTAGATCGAAAGGGGTGGGAGGAGCGGGCAGTGAAGGCAACGTGGGAACCTCGCACGAGAGTGGGTATGCGTCTCACAGCCTCACCTCGGAAGTTCTCACGATGACGTCAGCCAGTCCTCGCGAGATGTCGTCAGCGGATTCGTGCACGCGAAGCTCTCCGGAACTTTCGCGCCCTTGGGTTGGGACGGATGTGGGAGAAGGAGATGGAAAGTGAATGAGTCTCACTCGGTAGTGAAAATCCACAGACCGACTGGGCTGAGACTCGCAAATAAGATGAATGCGCCATGACATGCGCCGCAGAATGCGTCAGGGAGATGCGCCGCCAGCACTGTAGCTGCGAATTCGGTTTCGGCAACAAGAATACAAACCTAACTGCTGTGGGCATGCCACGTCAGCTTACACGAGAGGGGAATCGCGGTGTATTTCGCGCCCTCCATCAAATTCCCTGCGCTACGTGCTGACCGTTTGTCACGTCCACGCCGAACAAATTCTAAGCGACAACTCCGCGCCGCTATTTCCGGTATTCTACGAATTCAAGGCGGATGATCTGTTTCCGTGGAGCGTATCTGTGAAGCCTCCATATGTGTTTCGAAATTGGTGTTGGGTAGAAAACAATATGAACATATGCATTTCGGTTGTCACTGTGTACTCTCTACATGAACTAATTTCGTTATACAGTTATGCAGTAACCTGAGCATAAGTGAGATGCAATGCGATACCACAGCTCAAATGTGGGGTGTGGGGTGGAAGCAGTGACCTGGTGGTTGGGGGAATTGGGGGAGTTGGCTGGTCGCTTGACCGAGTCATGATTACGTGTATGTTGGCTTTCCCGAGCACGATGGCACGGAACATTTTTCTGAGCCACTAGTTTCACCGCAGAAACTGCACTGCGAGCCAAGCTTTCAGCAGAAATTCACATCTGAGGTGTGGTGACGTGACTCAAAATGGTCCTTCGCTCACCGGCTTCCAATATCAATGGAGATGGAGATTTCAAAACGAATCTGGACGAGCATTTTTCGTAGACACGTGGCAGAGTTGTGGTCCCCAAATTTCAGTTCATTTGGCCTCCAGGTGCACGAGCGGGCCACTTCACCTCGATAACATCCCTTTCTCGAATATTCGCGCAACGCTAACGTTCTCGCCTGACGTTGCTTCACTGTTACCTGTCGCCAGCCTCTCGCCTCAACCGTTCAATCCAGATCCAAGGTGCTTCGCACAACAACCAAAAGCTACCCGTTACCTAGGCACCCGTGTACCAAGCTCATATCTCCTCCAGTCCAGTCAGTGATTTGAGAACAGATCAATTTCCCTGCTGATTAGTGCAAAACAGTTGGCTGAAATTGCTCGACTTAGGCTCCTCCTCTTCCACTGACCATTCCGTTCCCTGCCTATTTGCCGGTGGAAGAGCCTGTAAGCCGGATAAGCTGTAAGTCCGAGCACAGCTATTAGTGTCCTGAGGAACCTACCTTATCTCAGGCCGTGAATTGCTAAGGTTCCGGTTTTTTTTCGCGTCAGCACGGTTTTCGTGAACAAGGCCGTCTGGTCAACTATGGATATTCTCACACGGTGTTCTCCAGCGGGGTCGGCGCTCCTCCTCTCCGGTCCACAAGAAGCTCGACCTCTCGCGCTTCGCACTGCGACACACTCGTTCCCCTCACAGAAGCTGCCGCGGGCTTCCCGGCGCCACGTCGTTTCGGCAATTTCCGAAGGCTCGCGAAAGTCGCAGTATTCGTCCAGCGAATTCGCGAAGTTACCAGGCGAGCTGCAGGACTTGTCGAATCTCGTAAAGAAGCTTGCGAACGAGACAACCAAACCTCCCCCTCCCCGCGCGGACTCTGCACGGCCGTCCGTCAAGCCCCCTCGTTACAGCGACTTCGCCAACAACCCTGAAAACGACCTTTCCAGTAAACCTGCGGTCGCAGCTCCCGATGCGCCGGGTTTTCCGGGTCTTCCGGCGTCTGTCGCGCGGCAGATGCCGTGGCTGGCACAGGCAAAAAGACAGCCGCCGCAAGACGCGGAGAGCGATCTCGAGGGATTGATACCCAAGGCGCTTTCTTCCCCATCCATGCCGACGTCCGCCGATAGAACAATGGTCCCTCGTACCGAGGTGAGAGCCGTTTGGGCGTTAATTTGTCCCGTTGCTTGCCGAGTATGCAGGCGTGGACGCCTTTCTTGGATTTTTTTCCAGTCCTTTTATGAATACCCGTGAAGGCGTATGCTCGTTGTTGGTGGTACTATGTCGTCCATCCTATTTCCGTCCTTACGTTCACCCACACTGCGCCTCGTGTGCCGTTACCAATTTCATGAACGCACGTCTTCGGAGCTGTTTCTTCCACCTTTTCTTCTTCCTCGCTCCCGCTTCTCTCACTTTTGCGTCTTCGCTTCCGTTCGTGTTTATTTCTTCCCGGCTGCCACATGCCAGGTCATCGCCATGCGGTCGCGGCTCAACAAGAAGCTCAGTGAATCCAACACGTACAACCGCTTTCTGCAGCGCGAGGTACGGATCGGTACGGAGCGGTGGGGAGCGGGTCAAAGGTTGTGAGAGGTGAGCTGTCAAAGGTCGAGGCTTGGCGGAGGAAGGAGTGTACTGAACAAGAAGCTGAACGAGTCCAACACGCACGACCAGCTTCTGCAGCGCGAGGTACGTAGGAAGGAGAAAGGGAGGGAGGGAGGGAGGTTGTTGGAGGGGGGGGGGAGAGAATGGAAAGGGATTGGCTGTGAATTCAGCACGTATAACCGCTTTCTGCAGCACGAGGTACGGGGAAAAGAGAAGGAAAGGAGGGGGGGTTGGAGGGAACGACTTAGGAGGTTGCGAGAGGTACCGCCGTGCCAGACGAACACGCACAGCCGCTTCCTGCAGCTGGATGTGAGGTGGTAGCCGAACAAGAATGCAGCAGAAGTGCGAGTGAGACTATGGACGGCCGCGCCAAACAAGAAACCATCTAGTCATCGTTGTAACTCTGAATCAGCAGTCGAACCGCTTCCAGAATTTATTCGCTGAGTTTTGGGACGGCTCTGATTTGAGGTTCAGCTTTCTTTAAGCAGAGACGTTATGACTGGAACTGGATAGCTGGAAATTAGGTTAATCTTATGAGGATGCCACGGCGGCGCTAGGTAGTGGAATTTAGGTTACCGTTTCCCTCTCACCCACACATCCCTCCTCCCATCCCCACACCAGGTGCAGTACCCCGAGCAATCGCTGAGCGACTTAAAAAGCGCACATAATTCTCTATTTGCGCCCTTCTGCCCCTCACTCTCCTCCCCCGCTTTTCTCCCCCCCCCGATTCCCGCCTGTCTCCCTTCCTCCCCCCCACCAGGTGCAATCCCGCGAGCAGGCGCTGAGCGACTCAAAGGCGCACACGGTGCGCCCCTCTGCGCCTCATATTTCCTCCTCCGCTCGTCATTCCTCCCCTTCCCCCCCTCCACCAGGTGCAATACCGCGAGCAGGCGCTGAGCGACTCAAAAGCGCACACGGTGCGCCCCTCTGCGCCTCATATTTCCTCCTCCGCTCGTCATTCCTCCTCTTCCCCCCCTTCCCCCCACCAGGTGCAATACCGCGAGCAGGCCCTGAGCGACTCGAAGGCGCACACGAGGCTCGGATTGCGCCTCAATATCCTTCCCCGCTCTTCCCCCATATCCTCCCCCCACACCAGGTGCAATACCGTGAGCAGGCCCTGAGCGACTCAAAAGCGCTCATGATCGCACTGGCGGCGGAAATGCGGGTGAGATGGGATGAACGGCTGAGATGGGCTGGGTGGGCGGTCAAGATGAGAGGTTGGGTGGGCGGTCAAGATGAGAGGTTGGGTGGGCGGTCAAGATGAGAGGTTGGGTGGGCGGTCAAGATGGGATGGGTTGGGTGGACGGCTGAGATTGGATGGGATGAAGGGCTGAGATGAGATCGGATGAACTACTTATATGTGTGTTACGATGATTGGTTAAAGATGGGTTGAGATGGGTCGGGATGAAGGCGGGAACCGGGCAGGATGAAAATTTAAGATGGGATGAAGAACTGACAGGTATCTCTGGTTACAGCAGGCAAGCCATACATATATGATACATTCATACATGCATGCACATTGCACCTGAATTACCAAATTCGTTGTGCTCATAATCCTCTCCAATGCCTCTCCATTTGCCACGTGTCGCGCTCTCATTGCTCCAGGAGCTGAGCGAGGTTGCGGAGGAGATCGTGAAGACCGACGGCTTGCCAGTCACAAGGAAGATCAATGGTCGATATCTGCCGTCGCACCTCAGCAACAGATTGGAAGGTACGGATGAAGCTTTTTAAAATTCCCTTTGAGAATTCATTTTGAGAATTCTCAAATGTGACTCGGACAAAGCTAGAGGTATCCCATGGATCTATAGGTCATGAGTTGCATACATATTTTCTGCATGCCCTCCCATGCACCCTCCCATTCGCACACTCTGCTTGCCTCTTTTCATCTTCCCCATACTCCCCCTCTCCCCTCCCCTTCCGTCCAGAGCTCTATTCGGACCTGAGGCAGCAGCTGGAGGGAATCGAGAAGCTGCGCCTGCGAGAGGTCCCTCTGGTGTGGTTTGGCATGGCGGAGGACGTGAAGGTGATGGGGTCGTTTGACTGCTGGACGTACGTTCCTTCCCCTCAATTCCCCCTCCCCCTCCCATCTTGCCCATATCAGAGGTCTATTCCGACCTGAGGCAGCAGCTGGAGGGAATAGAGAAGCTGCGCCTGCGCGAGGTGCCCCTGGTGTGGTGTGGCATGTCAACTCAGCTGCGAAACCCTTCTTCTACCCCCTTCTGCCCCTCACCCAGAGCTCTATTCGGACCTGAGGCAGCAGCTGGAGGGAATAGAGAAGCTGCGCCTCCGCGAGGTGCCCTTGGTGTGGTTTGGCATGGCGGAGGATGTGAAGGTGATGGGGTCGTTTGACGGCTGGACGTACGGCGAGCAGATGTCTCCTGAGACCACTGGCACCATGACCCGCTTCACCACCGTGCTCAAGCTGCGCCCTGGCAGGTACGGGTTGTTTATCGCTCACCACCGCTCACCACCGCTCTGCACCGCGCTCAAGCTGCGGCCCAGGGCAGGTATGGACAACCTATTCAATAGGTGGCTCAAAAGAGCAGATGTCCCCCGAGACCACTGGCACCATGACCCGCTTCACCACCGTGCTCAAGCTGCGCCCGGGCAGGTATGGCCGCACACCACCGCTCTCCACCTTTCACCACAGCTCACCACCGCTCTGCACCGTTCTCAAGCTGCGGCCCGGGGCAGGTATGGGGACTGTTCCATACGCAGCTCAGAAAGAGCATATGTCTTCCGAGACCACCGGCACAATGGCTCCATTCACCACTGTGCTCAAGCTGCCCCGGGGCAGGTATTACCGTTCACCACCGTACACCACCCCTCACCAGCGCTTGCCGCTGTTCACCAAGCACCACATACTTGCCGGTGCTGCTCCTTGCGTGATGACATCATAAGCTTGTGATTCTGTGTGCTTGCATCCTACTGTGCCTGTGCATGGATGCGCTTGCTGCATGGCCATGCATGGATGCGTGCATGTGTGTGCATGGATGTGTGGGTGTTTACTGCCATGCTTGCACGTGTGCACGTGTGCTTGTGTGCAGATACGAGATTAAGTTCCTGGTGGACGGCGAGTGGAGAGTGGCAACAGAGTGGCCCACCATGGGCCACTCCATGATGCTATCCTAATCCCTTCTCTCTTATCTTTTTGTGCTTGCATCCTACTGTGCTACTGCGTGTGCATGTATGCATGCGTGTGTGCAGATACGAGATCAAGTTCCTTGTCGACGGCGAGTGGAGAGTGGCAACAGAGTGGCCCACCGTCGGCCACGGCATGCTTGAGAACAACATTCTCACTGTCGAATGACCAATAGCTGTAATGGGATTATGTGCGATAGCTACACTGCTAAATGCCGCTCAATAGGTGTACAATCGAAACCTTTCCTGCAGGGTTTATGAACCTTGATTTGCTTGGGGTGGCGACTGCATGTTCCAGTGCACTGCTACACCATCCGGTGACTGGATGTTTCCTTAGTTTTGCAATTAAATAAAATCATGTTGTCGATAAGTAAGAAGCCCTGGAGATCCTGATTTTTAATCTCGTGGTGGCTGATCCAAAACCCTATAGAGAGAAGGGACAATGTTATCTCTAGTCAGCCCAACTACCCTCTTATAGCACTTCAATTACCAATCCTAATACAACCAGTAACCACAGCATGCTACACCACTGCATTAGAACAGCATCCCTCTACCACAAAGTGTGGACTAACGCTTTTGGGCTCCACAGATCGTATACTGCAACGGAGAAAAGCCTAAATGTACTTTACTGTGCCCACTACAGATGCCACCAAGTCACGTAGTTGCACTCTCCGCCTGGCCACAGATCCATGGGTGATCTGCACGGAACCAGAGTTGCGAGAATCGGGGAGAATGGTGGTCACTGAAAGGAATAGCAAGAAACTCATGGCAGAAGACGCTGCAGAGATATAGTGTGCCATGAGCACTGCACATCCTGCAGGTGGTTTAGAAATTGCTGTTGATGTTAGGCGACTTCTGAGGTGCCTAAAAAATCGCCTCACTACACGCTGGTGAGGAAAAATAGCCTGCCATGAGCACAGCACATCCCCATGGTCCTGAGGATGGTTTGGGAAGGGCTGATGATGGTGAGACAATGGAGCAGGAGCTGAGATGAAACACCTACCAAAGGGCTTGTTGTGAAACAGAGGCTTCCAATTCCAACACCCAACGCGGGGCGGTTTGGGGATAAAGGGTTATATGGTGCCGCTCATCCATGCAGCCCGCCTCAAAGTGATGCCAAGCACTCACCTGGAATGCACTGGTGTCAATCACATCTGTGATTCACAGTTGTGGCTCATGCTGTGATCCCCATTCACCAATCATGGTTATAATGCTGCTTGTGCAGACGCATTTGGCTGCCCCATAAGTTTCGCCATGCTGCACATGCAGCGCAATAATGCCACCCCTGCATGGCCCTGTTCCCCCAAAGCCTTGGCCCCGCCAGCCCCAGCCCATGCAGCCCAGCCACTCACCGAGCACTTCTTCCATGGTGATCCTCGCCTCAGATTCACAGTCACCACTCACGCTCGTGCTGCCGCTTGTGCAGATGCAGAGTCACCAGCCCCAGCCCCAGCAGCCCTCCCACTCACCCAGCACCTCTTCCATGGTGATCCTCGCCTCAGGGTCCCTCGAGAGCATCCGACGGACGAGATCCTTCGCTCCCTCCGAGATCGACGGCCAGGGCTTGCTCGCGAGGTCAATCTCCTTGCATCGGACGGCCTGGAAGATCTCGTCGTTGGAGCGGCCAGAGAAGGGCGGCGAGCCGGAGAGCAGCACAAAGAGAACCACCCCTGCGCTCCACACGTCTGCCTGCAACCCGTACTGCTCTGATAGCACCTCAGGGGCTAAGTAGTAGGGCGAGCCTACCCTCTCTGTGCACTGTGTGCCTGGAGGGAAGGGGTGTGCAGCAGGGGTTTGGGGAGAAAGAAACAGGCACAGGTGAACGGGGAGAAGAAGGGCGGCGAGCCCGAGAGCAGGACTAAGAGCACCACCCCTGCACTCCACACGTCCGCCTGCAACCCATACTGTTCTGTCAGCACCTCAGGGTCTAAGTAGTAGGGCGAGCCCACTCGCTCGGTGCACTGTGTGCCTGTAGGAATGGGTGTGCAGTGGGGCATAGGCGAATGGGAAAAAGAAGAGAAGGTTGATTGAGGCTCCACATGTCTGCCTGCGGCCCATACTGCTCTGATAACACCTCAGGTGCTAAGTAGTAGGGCGAACCTACCCTCTCTGTGCACTGTGTGCCTGGAAGGGAGCAGGCGGAGGTGAATGAGAAGAAGAGAAGGTGGTTTGAGGCTCCAGACATCCGCCTGCAGCCTATACTGCTTGTCAGCACCTCCGGGGCCATATAATAAGGCGAGCCTACTGGATCCGTGCACTGTGTGCCTGTAGGAAAGGGAGTGCAGAAGGATGGTTAAGGGCCTGCAACCCGTACTGCTCTGTCAGCACCTCAGGGGCTGTGCAATAGGCCGAGCCCACTGGCTCAAAGGATTATGCAAGTGTAGTGAGGGGTGCACACCAAGGGGAATGGGGAGTGAGGGATAGATGGCCGGGGATGGGCTGGAGTGGGATGGGGGGGAGGGTTCGGTTGGAGAGGGATGGTGGAGTTGATATACTTAGGGGGAACGGACGGAGGGCAATGGGCGGAGGGGAGAGGTTGGGCGGGAAGGGGGAATGGAGAATGGGCGGAGAGAATGGGCGGAGGTGAATGAGGTGGGGGGGAATGGGGTGACAGGAAATGGGTGGAGGGAAACGGGGGTGGGGTTAACCACCTACCAGGCAGCAGCAGAGTGGCGGCCCCAAAGTTGGTGAGCTTGATGCTCGCGAGCACAGCAGAATGTTCTCCGGCTTCACATCCCGGTGCAGGGAGGGAGAATAAGCGGAGGGGAATGCGCGGAGGGGAATGGGTTGGGGGGGATCGGGGTGGTGGGGGGGTTACACCTACCAGGCAGCAGCAGCAGAGTGGCGGCCCCAAAGTCGGTGAGCTTGATGCTCGTGTCGTCCGCGCGCGAGCACAGCAGAATGTTCTCCGGCTTCACATCCCGGTGAAGGGAGGGGAAATGGGCAGAGGTTATTGGCGGAGGGGAGCGGGCGGAGGGGAATGGGCGGAGGAGAATTGGCCGAGGGGAATGGGTAGGGGGGAAGTGGGGTGGTGGGGGGGTTACACCTACCAGGCAGCAGCAGAGTGGCGGCCCCAAAGTCAGTGAGCTTGATGCTCGTATCGTCCCCCCGCGACGGGAATGGGGTGACGGGAATGGGTGGAGAGAACCTGGTGGGGGGGTTACACCTACCAGGCAGCAGCAGAGTGGCGGCCCCAAAGTCAGTGAGCTTGATGCTCGTATCGTCCCCCCGCGACGGGAATGGGGTGACGGGAATGGGTGGAGAGAACCTGGTGGGGGGGTTACACCTACCAGGCAGCAGCAGAGTGGCGGCCCCAAAGTCGGTGAGCTTAAAGCTCGTGTCGTCCGCGCGCGAGCACAGCAGAATGTTCTCCGGCTTCACATCCCGGTGATTGGAGAGGGAATTGATGGAGGGGAATGGCGGAGGGGAATGGCGGAGGGGAATGGCGGAGGGGAATCGGCGGAGGGGAATGGGCGGAGGGAAATGGGTGGGGAGGAACACTTACCAGGCAGCAGCAGCGCGGCGGCCCCAAAGTCGGTGAGCTTGATGCTGGTGTCGTCCGCGCGCGAGCACAGCAGAATGTTCTCCGGCTTCACATCCCAGTGAATGAAGGGGGGATAGGCGGAGGGGAATGGGCGGAGGGGTGTGGGTTGGGGGGAATCGGGGTGGTGGGGGGGTTACACCTACCAGGCAGCAGCACGGCGGCAGCTCCAAAGTCGGTGAGCTTGATGCTCGTGTCGTCCCCCCGCGAGCACAGCAGGATGTTCTCTGGCTTCACATCCCGGTGCGCCACTCCCCGCGCGTGCAGGAACGCCAGCGCCGACGCCAGCTGGCGCGCCACGCTGGCGGCCGCGGGCTCGCTGTAGCGCTGACGTGTCACGATGCGGTGGAAGAGCTCGCCACCGTGGCAGAGCTCCATGATGATGTGGACGGCGCGCGCGTCTTCGAGCGCCTCGTGCATGGCGACTATGCGCGGATGCCCGCGCGCGCGCTGCATCATCTGCACCTCCCTCCGCACCTCGTCGCACTCCGCCTCGCACTGCGGGGGGGTTTGGCGCAGCGTGGGGGGCGGACAACGACAGGGGGTAGGGCGCGCAGCGCGAGTGACGTGAGGCGAGAACGGGGGTGCTCAATGCGGGGAGTGGCCGTGCAGCAGGCTTGGGAGGGGAGGAAACATTGGACGACGCACTATCACTAGCAATGGCATTTTGAGACGTCTCGGATTTGAACGCCACTCACGATCATGGCGGCCTTGCTGATGCCGCTCAAGTGAACACCAGTTAGGTGCCATGAGTTACTAACAACGCCACTCACAATCATGGCGGCCTTGCTGATGGTCTTGCACGCGAACTGCCGCCCAGTCGCGCGGCACCTGCACGCGCGCAGCACGCCCACCTTGCCCCGGCCCAGCTCCCCCTCCGCCACCTCATACCGCGCCTCAAGCTCCGCGTACGGCCGCCCCAACACGCGCCGCGTGAACTCCCGCTCCCCCTCCTCCGCGCTGTCCCCCTCTTCCCCCAATATCCCCCCTGCATAGCTCCCCGCGTCCCCCCGCGCGCTCAGCTCCACTGTCGAGACCGTTTCCCGCACCAGCGCTGGTCCGAACGGGGAGGTTCCGCGCGCGGGGGACGAAACAGGGGGGGAGAAAACGAGCGGTCGGAGGCTGGGGGAAGAGACGCGGGCGGTGGCGGAAGGATCCGCAGAGGCGCGCACAGCCGGGCTGATGACGATCGGGGGGACCGGGGAAGGCCTGGCGCCGATGCCGCGCGCCGGTGTGTACCTTGATTTGCTGCGACTGACCGTCGGTGTGCTGAAGCCGTGTCCCGTAGTGGTGGTGGTGCTGCTGCTGCTGCTGTGGCTGCCGAGGCTGTTGCTGCTGTTGTTATGAGTGTAGCTCTCGCTTCGGCTGGTAGGGAAGCGGCGCGTCTTCTGACCGCGCGGAGGGGTGTGGGGAACTTTGAACGGCGCGGCGAGGGCCTCGAGGGCGGACTGCTCGAGCGACACCGTGCGACCGACACTCTCCTCCAATCGCTGACGGCCACCAAGGCCGCCTGCCACGTCAGCATGATCCGACGGTCTGTCAGCGCTGTCGCCGTCAAACTGCTCGAGAAAAAGCGCGGGAAACGCACTTTCGCTCCTGTAGAGGGACCGGGGTCCTAACACGCCTTTCAGCCGCAAATCGTCCTGCTGGTGGTGGTGGTGGTAGTGCTGCTGCTGCTGACTGTCTAATGGCTGCTGTTCGTACAGACGACGCTTATCAGGCTGATAGTGCTTCGGCCGACACGGCTGCTGCGCCAGCGGCGGTCGCTGATCCACACCGCCGTGCTGAGTCGGCCGCTTCTGGTTCGGATGTCGGCTCGTTCTCCACGGCTTGAACGCCGGAGGGCCTTCACCCGCGGATGGAGCAGACGTAGACGGAGACGGATCGACCACCACGGTACGAGCCTCGCGAGGGAGGATGTCGGAGGAACCGTCGCCGGGTAGTGCGGCGTGAAGATGGGCTGCAGCTTCGCTGCAGGTTCGCCTTATTGCAGCACTCCCGTCCGTGCTTCCCGCGCGTGCGATCGCCTTTTCCTCGTCTTGCTTCGCGATGTGGTAGCCAGCACATTGTAAGCCGTCGTTTGGAAACTCGTTACAGTCCGCACCGAGGCCTCTCCATCGTTGCTTCAGCCCATCAAGGAGCTCGTGCTCGCCTGTCCTCGCTTTAAAGCTTCTCGCTCTCGCGTTACAGGGTCCTTCGGACATCACCACAGGAGGCATTACTGATATCTCTCCGATGGATTTTGAGAGCCGGAACTTGCGACCTGTACTACACTCAGGCAAGTCAAAGAGGCGTGTCTTAGGTACGGGAGAGGCGGATAGATTCGGGAGATTTTCCACGTCGATCTTGCGTCCGGTGCCGGTTCGGGGTTGGCTCGGCCGGAGCTCGGGAGTAACCTGATTGGAGGATTGGCTGTCGAGCAGAGGAAAGACGAGAGGAGGAGACACGGCGTCATCGGAGCCTGCTGACTTGGGACCAATGGTAGGCGTTTGTAGATTTATCGACGGTTCCGAAGATGACGGTGTACTTGACCCGTATGCAGTCACGTGCCGTCTCTGGTCTGCTGGATTCGTGTCTTGAAATTTGGCGGGACTTTTCACGCAATAATGCGCCATTTGATCCGGAAAGAAGGAAGTAACGATTCTAACAAAACTAATCGCTGAAGCGCTGGGGCGAAGGATCTATGGTGATCTTATCAATGAAACCTGCGACGGAGACAAGTAAGTTGTCCAGAAATTCACATCTCAAGTGATGGCGGACGCATTGATATCAATCTTTCATATCATGTTCCCGCACTTCCCCTGTGCTACCTGTTTTCATGGAGCTCTGCTCTCCATTGCTCATGGTAGCCATGAATGAGTCTGGCAGGCATTTCCATGCTGGGTGCTGCTTCGCTGACGGGATCCCGCATCGCCTGCAGCAACAGCCGCCAATCACTGGCATGAATCCACCGTCGGATAATTTCCGCCATCAGCGCGATGAAATCGACGGTGAAGTTTGACTCTCTCGCGTGTCGCGCCTTAGCACGGCACCACCTTCGCAACTGCCCATTCGCTGACGAGGTGCTCTCTGACAGAATGGTTCCCGCCAGTTTGACCCGACTTCTAGGTCGGAACAAATGTAGCTTCGTTGTTATGTTACACATATGTTCCGTTCATTGTTTTTCATGTACAAAACGATTCCAGTCGTATTTACACATGGAGCTGCGCTGCAAGGCCTTGCTGATGCTCCGTTACAGTGTAAGAGAACTCCACACACGGATACGCTGGTGCTAAGGGTACCTCCTCTGACCATCTTTCTAGGATGGATAGTTCCAATTGATGTGCACCGCAAAGTCCCATGCAGTTCCCCCAGTTTTTGGAGGTGCCCCTCACCGAGACTGTAGAGATTGGATGGATGAGATGCGCTGGTCCGATGTGGCGGGAGCGCTCCACCACACATGCGAGAATGACTTCGTAATGATGAAAAGCGTGCGACAGGTGGTCCCAAAATAGCTTCAGCCACACCAGAAAGCCAAAGGAACTTCGCCACATCGACAGAGAAATGTCGCTCATTGGCCGGAACCCTCTAAAGGAATTTCTACCGCGTGGCCTAATGACGACGTGGCCAAGCTCTTGGGATTTTGGCAAATGGAGAGCACTTTGAGAGGGCAACGCTCACACGAGTCCGCGATCCCAGAGATCACCGTAATCACATTCTCGCCCTCTCACTCGCCTGCATCATGATCCGCCTCTCTACGCTGGCCCTCTTTGCGTTCAGTGCTTGCTCTTTCATTCGTTGCTTCACCTTGGGAAAACCGCAGCAGGTCCTCAGGCTGCTCGCTGCTGCCTGAATTCTTCGCCGACCATCAAGCAGGGAGTCAGCTTGGGGGAGGATTTCGCGAGCACATATCGAGGAATGACCTTTACAAGCCGAACTTTGTGATCATATTAGTGACGCTCACCTCACTTCGTAACAAGCCTCTCCCGTAAAGCATCGCCAAATACCGTTCCCCACTCCAAGCTCTTATCTTCTCCCAAGCTTTCCTCACCATGAGTTGTGTAGCCGTTGCCGGCTGCTCGCTAAGAGCCTCCGTCCCTTCAAAGTCTTTTTCGCTGGGAGCAGAATGCCGCGTGCACGCCGTACGAGAAGTGTCCCTCGTGCAGCGATCCAGGCGCCTCGTCACATACGCTGTGGCTGAAATGCCAAAAACCAGATCGCCGCAGACCGCCAAAGGCTCTACATTGGACGAGCCGATCCCCCTCGAAGACGAGAAAATAAAGATCGCAGCGGCAGTTGCGGAGAGCCTTCCAGCCGCCGCGTCGGCGGGTCTTTCAGAAACGGCGCTGGAACGGAAGAGGCGGCGACAAAGTGAGCGATCCACGTACCAGCTGGCCGCGATAGCGTCAAGTGTGGGAGTCACGTTCCTCGCTGTCGGCGCCGTCTGGTATCGCTTCGTCTTCCAGACGCAGGTAAGCTGCACTCATAGCGCGATCAGGCGAAAGTGGTTGAAGTATTGATAACCAACCATTTCACTCTCGTAAATCAAAGTGAGAAACCAAAGACGCCGGTTTTGCCACAAAAAGTGTTTCTTTTGTCATTAAGGTTAATATGCGGCTTCACTGGGTGCGTGCAGGGCGAGACGGTCCCCATAGAGGAGGTGGTGGGCACGGTGGCGCTCGTGATTGGCGCGGCCGTGGGGATGGAATTCTGGGCGCGATGGGCGCACGACGCGCTGTGGCACGGATCCCTGTGGAGCATGCACAAGGTAACGGGGGTTCTTTGACTAACAATGCAATAACGGCAATGCATGAGTTGGCATTAAACTTAAATCCAATGACAAGCAGATCGCTCCGTGTGAGAGCCGGGCTGCCATCACTTGCTCGTTCAAAATGTTGGTCTGTTTCGCGTGGCACCACCCTCAGATCCCGCTTGACATTTTTGTTCCCGTCCGTGACGAGCCGAGCCAATGCCGAGCCTCGTGCGTGATTAGCTTGTTCATCTCGGCTAATCTCTTGCCTCCCCTCTCCCTTCTCCCCACCAGTCGCACCACGAGCCGCGGGAGGGCGCGTTCGAGCTGAACGACGTGTTCGCGATCATCAACGCCGTGCCCGCCATCGCGCTCATCGCCTACGGCTTCTTCAACCCCGGGCTCGTCCCCGGCCTCTGCTTCGGCGCCGTACGTTGCCGCACCTCATAAACTCTTTCGCCTAGGCGCGCCGAACTGCCTTTTCTCCTTCTGCCTGCTTGGCCCTCGCACTCCTCTCGCCTTACGTACGACTTCCTCAGCCGCGGACTCATCCCCAGCCTCTGCTTCGGCGCCGTACGTCGCCGCACGTTTTTTACTCTTAATCTTTCCGACGCGCGCCTATTTCCTTCTCTCGGTTACCCTGCTGCACCCTCGCTGCCCTCCCGGCTCTCCCACGGCTAAGTCGCCCCGGACTCTCTCCAGCCTTTCGAAGACACGCTCCACGTTCCACCTCCCTCTACCTTACGCTGGCGTCTGCCCTTTTGCGTTCGTCTCCCTTCCCGCTCCTCTGCCTTCGGCGTCCTCCGCCGTCCCGCACGCTCTGCTCATGCCGTCCCCTTTCCGCGTCCCCTCCCCCTCCTCGTTCCCCCCCACAGGGCCTGGGCATCACCGTGTTTGGCATGGCCTACATGTTCGTGCACGATGGCCTAGCGCTTCAACGTGCTATCCCTTGTACCATTCCCGTGCGCCTCTGTTCCATCCTTGTCCGCCCCACAGGGCATGGGCATCACCGTGTTTGGCATGGCCTACATGTTCGTGCACGATGGCCTAGCGCTTCAACGTGTCCTTGCCTCCCGCCCTTTGTTCCTTATCGCTCCCCTCTTCCCTCCGCCTTCCCCCCACAGGGCCTGGGCATCACCGTGTTTGGAATGGCCTACATGTTCGTGCACGACGGGCTGGTGCTTTAACATGCCCCTCTTATGCCGTTACCTTCCCGCCGCCTACCCATCTTCCCCACAGGGCATGGGCATCACGGTGTTTGGAATGGCCTACATGTTCGTGCGCGACGGGCTGGTGCATCGTTGTGCCCTTGCCTCCCTCTGTTCCTTATCGCTCCCCTCTTCCCTCCGCCTTCCCCCCACAGGGCCTGGGCATCACGGTGTTTGGAATGGCCTACATGTTCGTGCACGACGGGCTGGTTCACCGGAGATTCCCAGTGGGCCCCATTGCTGACGTCCCGTACTTGAAGCGAGTCGCTGCCGCCCACCAGGTATGCCCTCCCTACCGCCCTCAACGCTTCCCAGGTGTACTTTGAGTCGTCTCAAAATACACTCCATAATACACCCGGGTTGGTGCACCGGAGATTCCCAGTGGGCCCCATCGCTGACGTCCCATACTTGAAGCGAGTCGCTGCCGCCCACCAGGTATGCCTGCCCTGCCAGCATTGGTGCCAATGTTCGACACCATCTCTCCAATCCTCGCCAAGCAATTCTCCTTGTTTTTGTTCTTCTATTTTGTTTTTCTCTTGATGTTGTTCCCGCCACCAACCTTTTCCCTCCTCGCACCCTTCGCTCTGCTTCTCCCCAGCGGCTGCGCTATGTGACAAATTCAGCTGTTTGGGCTGTTCATGAGGCAAAACGAGCTGGAGCGTGTGGGCAGACGAGTGACCATGACATTTTCCCCTTGCCAACGCTTTCCTCCATTGGAATTCTCTGCGTCTCACTTTCCCCCATTCTCTCCCCTCCCCACCACCCCCTTCACAGCTACACCACGCAGACAAGTTCAAGGGTGTACCGTTTGGGCTGTTTCTGGGGCCGGGCGAGCTGGAGAGGGTGGGCGGACGATTGCCCTTGTTCCCCTGAACTTACCCTCTCCTTCTCCCCTTCCTCTCCCCCCTCACACCAGCTACACCACGCGGACAAGTTCAAGGGGGTGCCATTTGGGCTGTTCCTGGGGCCGGGCGAGCTGGAGAGAGTGGGCGGGCTGGCGGATCTAGAGGAGCTGCTGGCAGCGCGGCAAGGGGGCGAGGGGAAGAAGCAGTGAGGGGAGGAAACAGTGAGGAGCGTGGGGAAGGGGAGCTGTGTAGAGACGTCTCAAGGCGAGCTGGAGAGGGTGGGTGGGCTGGCGGATTCAGAGGAGCTGCTGGCAGCGCGGCAAGGCAGCGAGGGGAAGAAGCAGTGAGGGCGCGTGGAGGAGAGAGTGTGATGGCGAGTAGTGAATAAATTGTGCAGTGGAAATGTTTACGAGTGCCTTGGGGCACAGGAGTCACACCGTTTTTACGTGCTGATGCTGAGATTTTTAGGGTTGCAGAACGGTGCGGCAAGGGTACTGCAAGGTGCCTGCTCTACCAGACAGAATGACCTTGGTGGATAGTCGTGTTAGGTTTCTTCATATGTCAGGAATGTGGTACCTAGCTGATTCGCCTGCAATCTCAAAGAGTAGGGTTTTTCATCTCAATTGTGACTGTTACCAATCAACAGCTTCACTCCACTGCAGAGAGCATGGGGGAATATACTCCTAGCAACAGTATCACCAACCAAGCATGGCAGCCACATGGCTGGTGGGAACCAAAAGAACTTCTGCCTGGCTTTGCCTTGGCAGAACTTGGGGGCGATTTGAGAGTAGGTGGTGCTGTTGGTGGTACTGCTGCTGCTGCTGCTTCTGCTGGTGGCGATGATGCTGCTGGTGTTGATGGTGTGGTGGCTGGTGTTGATGGTGTGGTGGCGTTGTCTCGGATGCAGCTGAGTCCTGCACCATCACTACTGTTGCAGCTGCGTGTGAGACTGAGCCTGCCAATGCTCATGGTGATGTTGATGGTGGTGATGGTGTTGCGTCAGCAGTCTCGCCTCCGTCTGCCTCTGCTGTATTAGGGAGCGAGTGATGGGAGTGCCTGTGGCCCCATCAGGCAACACCGATGCTGCCTTTGGTTCCGCATTGCTCGCTAGAGGATGATTCATGAGACACACACGGCAAAATAAGCCAAGGCTGGGTGTGGTACCTCTGGTAAGCACAGGCACCTGTCCGGTCAGTACCTCATGTTGCTTCTTGCATGGGTGTGAATGTGAATGGGTGTACAGGATTGCATAGCAGGCTGGTAAATGACGCAGTACCAAAATGTTATCAACCGATAACACTGGTAGCTAGGTACAAACAGGCTATACAATAACTCCATTTATCAAAACTTATACCGCAGAATCTAGCGGACCTGCTCCTGGCCAATCAAATGCAGCCACGCGTCAGACCAGGAAGGAACCCAGAGTGTCGTTTCTGTAGCTGCCAAGTCAACCAGTCACGCCACATGCAGCCACCTGCCAGACCACGAGGCAGCTGAGGAGTCAGATGACATGCAACAAACACAAGCAGCCACACTCACACAAAATGGAGCGGTGAAGGCAGGCCTGAGAGTGTCGCACAAGCAATGGAATTCACCCACTTGAGTGGCTGGGTTGTGGAAGAGTGAAGGGGGGTGTGAGAGATGAGGGAAATGAGGGGGCGGTGGTAGGAGAGGGGAGGGAGTTGAAGGGTGGATGGGGAGGGGGGGGGAGGAGGAGGGGTGGGGGGAGACGAGGCATCACCAGGGGGGAAGTTGAGGTATGGGAGGGGGAAGGGGATGAGGGGTGCATCTGAAAGCGGGGAACGGAGGAGGATAGGGAGAGAGGGGGAACGGAGTGAGACAAGGGGAGATGAGGGTGGGCGTGAAGGAAGAAAACAATAGAGCGCGGCAGTGATATGAAGGGGGGGCTGGTTGGATGAAGGGAGAAAGGGGGGAATGACGGGAGCGCAGGGAAGATGAGGGGGAGAGCGGGGAGATGAGGGGAGCGCGGGGTGAAAAGGGAAGAGCGGGGGAATGAGGGGAAAGCGAGGAAGATGAGGGGAGAGTGGGGAGGATGAGGGGAGAGCGGGGAGGATGAGCGAGTTGGGAAGCGTGACGTGATGTTTCTAGGCCTGCCAAGCGAGAAAAGGGAGGGCTGGGGCGCGGAGAGATGAATGACGTTTCCAGGCTAGGTCATAGGGTGAAAGTGTAGGCTAGGTCATAGGGTCATAAGGGGAAGCGGGGGAAGGCGGAGGGGGGGGGGGGGAAGGGGGGGACGGGGAGAGAGGAATCAAGGGGGAAGGGGGGCTGAATCGCCTGGACCTTTCGCCGATTTTTCCATCTTCAAATGTTCATTTTTGAAGTGTCTCAAAAGACGATTTTTAAAGGCGCCTCAAAAAACGATTCTTTCCCTTTCCAACCCGTCTGTTCCGCTTTCACCCGTCCATTCCATCTGTTCTCCCTTCCACTCAAGTCCAGGCTACCGTCGGGTGCACGCGTCCATCTTCCCCTCATCGTGCTCCTTACCCTTCTCGCCTCCACTCACCTCCCGCTCTCCCTGTTTACCGTCTTCCGTCGAGGCTACCATCGACGCACTCTCAAGATAAGGCTGACGGCGGCAAGGGGAGGGGGAAGGGGAAAATAAGGGGGAAATGGCCGCTTCGCCCTTCCGTCAGTCCTCTCCGTGCAGTTCCCCCTCTTCTCCCTTCCACTCACCTCCACTCACCTCCACTCACCTCCACTCACCTCCCGTCCTCCTTTTCCGCGTCTCGAGTCCAAGATACAGTCGACGCTCCGAAGTTATGAGGGGGAAATCGGGAAGAGGAGGGGGAAGGGGAGATTACCGTCACTTTCACTCACCTCCCTTACCGCGTCTTGCGTCCAGGATACAGTCGACGCTGTGAGGTAGACGAAACGCGCGTCTAATCGACGAAACGCACTACGTTACTGATGCGTACGACATCGACGGTAGTAATTTGTCCGCCGACAAACTTTATGATTCTGCGCATTACGCAAGTAAATGGAAGTCAGATCTGGAGCGCGCAACTAGAAATTGTCTTACTGAGACTGCAATGTTTGATAATATCTATTACTGCTAGCACGCCAATAGACGCGTGAAGCGGCTAACTGGACGTACGACCGAGGAGTGAGCGGAACTTGCTGCATCGTCGAAGAATTCTACTTATATCGGCTACTGCGCTGAGATCTGACATAGCAGTACTACTACGGAACGCAACTAGGGCAAGGTAAGTCGGACCCACGATATTACATCTGCAAAGTGGCAGCTGAGAAGCATTCGGTGTGGCAGGTTCGGAAATTCGAGGTTCGGGATGTTGATATTGCCATGGTGGTTGTGCCAGGGTGTCAAAAACAGAAATCGTTCCCATTGGTTGGCGCAAATCTCTACTCATCCACCCGTTGTTTTCCCAGCTGCCCGAGTAAGGATGAAAACGAGTCACAGCGCCACGGACGATCACCCCCAACCAAACCAAAGCCGTCCCGCAACTCACGCCGAAACTAAATAAACACTCTCTCATGCTGACCCAACTAAAATTAGCGCCACGTCAACCACCTCCTAGGAAGTTCGAACCTGCCCGTACAGACCAGCTCTCCCAACAAACCCCCCAGCAGAGATACGCGCCCTTAGCTTATCCGTTTGCAAACTGACAATTGCAACCAACTCTGTACAGCACGATGAATGTACAGCATGGTTTGGGCTGGACGGATAAGGTGGGGACACATTTTGAACATGTTCACCACGCGCTCTCGGGAAATGTCCTCTGCCGCTTAGCGGCGGGGCATTTCATTGGCTAATGAAAATGACCACCGCCACGCCTCCGTCCTATGCCAAAACGGCCAAATGTAATCGTCACCGTTGAGGGTGGTTACACCACCACGGTCCACCCATTCACAACACACTCGGTTTACTTTCGCACCGCGCACCCAGCGTGGTGTCAGCAATTCCCTCCAATCTGGAAGAGCGAGAGTTTGGCACCCCGTTCGACCGTACTGCACCTAGGTAAAATGCCGTAACCTTCTATTACTCAGATACAGCGACCCATCACATTTGGTTTGAAGCTGCGGTACGAGGCGCCGTGGCGGCTGAATTGTTGACTTGAATTCATTCAGCCACTCATCAGGAGCACTCCCTTCAGCAGCTACCTCCGCTACCATTCTGAGCATAACTCTGGAAGTTGTGTCCTTGTCCATTTTCGTCCTTCTCAAACTCACGGACGGAATGATTCTTCGAAAGCTCCAACCTAATGAGCTTAGACTTCAGGCTAGAAGCTCCACGGAGCAAACTATGATACCTGAAGCCACCCGGTTACTAGTACACGGAGAAGCCCATGGCATGAAGCGGCGTTGAGTTAGAATAGAGGTCGGGGTGGGGTGGGTGGGTAGAGTCCTGTGAGGAGCGAGCTGCCAAGTGCCATGGGCCGAACCGTGTACGAAAACCTTTCGCGGCAACCTTTACACCGCGAATAATCTATGATCTCTTCCGCAAGATTTACATGGCGATTCTTCGCGAGTCTTCTCTTAGAGATCTTCTCGCCACGAAGCTTCCACGGCGAGAGTTTTACGGCGCGATCTTCCCGGCAAATCAGAACGCCGACGCAGCCAGGATCATCTCTGCAATATCTCCACGCCAAGGATTTCTACGGCGAAAAAATCGCAACGGGGTCTCCGCTCCAAGTTCGTCTCGGCCAGAGATTCAGCTTCAAATGCTTCAGCTTCAAGATGCTGTTGCCGACCTTCCCCTGTCGCTGTTGCGGGGAAGACAAGTCTCGCAACCGCAAAGACCATATCGGCCTTCCCTGTCGCTCCCCGGCGGTCTTTCACCGGTCGAGTGGGGTAAGTGCAGAGTTTTTCGACTTCTTCCTGTAACCGTTTTTGGCCAGTTAAGTTCTTAAGCTTTTTAACATTGTTCAGGTACTAACATGTTGCTTTCTTCCCGCAGACCTCGTGGCGACCGTCTTGGCGAGACATGAAGTGTCGCCGTTAAGTTCTACAATAGCGAAGAGAGCTTCGCGGCCAACCCCGACGCTGCCTCCAAGGGAAGTCGCTGCGGTCTCTTCCCCGTCACCAACACGGAGACGGTTGAGTGGGAAAACGCTTCAAACGCGGGTTGCACTTCAATGGCGGGATGCTTCAAGCTCCGGACCTGAGGCCTAAGTCGGGAAGGCGCTTCAAACGCGGGTTGCACATCAATCTTGGGATTCTTCAAGCTCCAAACCGGCGATATCTTCGGTGTGAAGATCCGATAAGTTTAAGTTCGACCTACGAAGTCTTCCAACACGAAGACTGTCGAGTGGAGGTAAGGACTATTTTTTTTGTTTCCCAGATCCGCTAAAAAAAGTTCGACTTCTTTAAAATTCTTTTCACCTTTTAACTCGCTCTTATTTTTTCTGCAGACGACCTCCTTATCCGTTTCTGGTCGCACTTCAGCTCGTCTCGGAAAGAGCTTCAGCTTAAAATTTATTCAACGGGTTTAAGATGCTGATTCAAGGTGCGACCTTCCTCCGACCTTCCTACACGAAGACGGTAATTTCTTGTCAACCTCGTCATTGTTTTGTTACGTTCTGAATCGTTCGTTTTCCGCCGTTTGACGTGCTCCTGAGAATACTTTTAACGCGTTCCTTGTATTCCCGCAGACGTCAAGCTCAAGCTTCTACGAACGGGACCTGAAGTTTGAAGATTGAAACCCAAGTCCTTGACGTCAAGTTTGAAGCTCCGTCTTGAGAGCGATTCAAGATCGTCGACGCAGCCACGATTGCCGAAGCAGCCGGGATCATCTTCACGCCAAGGATATCGCAACGAGAACTCCGATCCAAGCTCGTCTTGGCTTCAAATGCTTCAAGCTCGCTGCGACCTTCCCCCGTCGCTGCTACTATTCCTAGAAGGAGACGGTAATTTCTGTTCAACTTCTTCATTGTTTTGCTACGCGTTCAACTTCTTTCCGTCGTTTGACGTGCTTCTGAAAAATCTTCTAACGCGTTCCTTGTTTTCCTGCAGACGGCAAGCTCAAGCTTCTACGGACGGGACCTGAAGTTTGAAGTTTGAAACTGGACGAGTCAAGCTGCCTGAAGCCCAACCGAAAGTCAAGATCGCCAATAGGCGCGCTCAAGCATGAAAGTCGCGGACTTGCTAACTGTCGTCGCGTTTAAATGCCGTCGCCAACGGCGGACAGGTCGGCCAAACTGGGGTACGTGAACCGTAAGTGCAGAGTTTTTCAACTTTCCAGCGTTTGTCCATTTAAGTTCTTAAGCTTTTTAACATTGTACTAACCCGTTGCTTTCTTCCCGCAGACCCTTTGCTTCAAGTCGGGAAGGCGCTTCAAACGCGGGTTGCACTTCAATCGCGGGATGCCTCAAAGCTCCGGACCGGCGATATCTTCCAACACGAAGGCTGACGAGTGGACGCACTCGTCACCAAGTGATGAACGCCGATTGTCACCATCTCCGAGTGAATGCGAGTGACGGCTGATCACCGTCACTCAGGGCCGGATGCGAGTCGCGAAGCCTCTCGGGTGCAGATCGCCAACGGATCCTTGTCGTTCGGCTTGGGGTAAGTGAATAGTAGCTCTAGATTTCCTTCGTCTTCTCAGCTGACGAAATTCAGTTACCTTGATTCGGCGAATTTTAAGTTACCTTTTTCCTGCTGCCTTTTCCCTGCAGACCAAAAACAGCCCACGCGAAGACTTGAAGCTGAAGCTTTCTACGCTGAAACTTTCGATGCGATGCGACGCTCAATCGCGGAGGACCAGAAGAGATGCGTCAATCGCGGGAGATGCGACGGCGACGGCGCCTCGACCTCGACCTCGCCACGATGCGCCGAGATGCAACTCTGGTTCAAGTTGGGGTGAGTGAAGTCCACCCGTTGTGCCGCCTTTCTCTTTATATTCTACCCGTGAGTGAAGTACTAACGTGCTGCCTTGTCCCTGCACATCCTGGCAACAGTCTTGGCGACCATCTTGGCGACCATCTTGGCGACCGTCTTGGCGACCGTCTTGGCGACCGTCACGGCGACCGTCTTGGCGACTGAAGATGGCGACCGTCTTGGCGACTGAAAATGGCGACCGTCTTGGTCGCGTGAACGCACATACGGATGGCGACGAAGATTCTACTGTCTCACGTCGCGAGGGGACGGTAACGGCCTCTCTCGAGCTGAGGTAATCTGCAGTTTAGCGATCCCTTCTCAACACTCAACACGTCTTGCAGATTTATATTAATTTGCCTACATTCTAACGCGTCGACTTGCTTTCCTGCAGAATCTGACGTGCACGACACACGTCGACGTATGGCGACGGCGGCGAATGGAGAGGAATGCCTTGTGGCGACAGTCCTTTGGGCGGGACTCAGCGACGAGGCCTCTACCGTCAGCGACGAGGCCTCTACCGTCAGCGTCGAGGCCTCTACCGTCAGCGACGAGGCCTCTACCGTCAGCGTCGAGGCCTCTACCGTCAGCGACGAGGCCTCTACCGTCAGCGACGAGGCCTCTACCGTCAGCGACGAGGCCTCTACCGTCAGCGACGAGGCCTCTACCGTCAGCGACGAGGCCTCTACCGACGGCTGGCGCGCGGATCTCTTCGCCCAAGCTGAGGTAGCGTGTTCTGATTCTTTTCAGCGGATTCGATTTATTTTGTTCGTTCTGATTTCAGCAGATTCTCCTTTTCCTTCTCGATGGTCTCGTTCTGATTCGTTCTCCTTCTCCTTCTCAACGACTTGCAGAAGCGGACCGTCAGCCGGCGTACGGGTGGCGAGGACGGATGACGATGCGTGGGGACGCGTGGCGCGAGTCACGGCGACGCTTCTTCGGTCGCGGTCGCACGACGTGTCTCGCGGGCGAGAGGCGTGTCTCACGGCGGGACTCACGGCGCTTCTCTCTGCGCTTGGCAGCAACGTCAACGTGGTAAGTATCACTTCCGGTTTTCCGCTTCCGTTTTCTTCCAGAGTCTAACTTCATTTTGTGTGCTTCGTCTTAGTGCAGCCAGCAGGCGGGAGGGGGAGCAAACGACGCTGGACAACGGTTGCAGCCTTTTTCTCTCGTGGTACGTATCAGTTTCAATCTCCTGCTATAGTTTTTCCTGGTTTTAACTTCTTATTGTCTGTTCCGTCTTAGTGCAGGAGCGGCGGTACCGGGAGGGGGAGCTCGCGGGGACAGCGCCGAGCAAAGGAGGTTACGCGGGAGGTGGTCTCCCTTGCCTGGTAAGTGCCGTCGAATTTCGTCAAGTTACTTCTTTGATCTTGAAACTAACTTTAATTTGTGTGTGTTCTTCTTTAGCGCAGGCGATGCGGGGATCAATGGCGCTGGCGGCGACGGGAGGTCAAGCTACGAGGACTTCTCATTCTTGGTGAGTTTCAGTTCCAGTTCTTTTCTTTATATTTTCCCGATTCTTACTTCTGTTGTGTGCTTTCTTCAGCGCAGGAGCAGCGGGAGCGGGAGCAGCGGCGCTGGCGGCGACGAGAGGTCAAGCTACAAGGACTTCTCATTCTTGGTGAGTTTCAGTTCCAGTTCTTTTCTTTATATTTTCCCGATTCTTACTTCTTTTGTTGTGTGCTTTCTTCAGCGCAGGAGCAGCGGGAGCGGGAGCAACGGCAAGTTACGAAGACCCCTCTTTCTTGGTAAGTTTCAGTTTCAGTTTCAGTCTCTTAAATATTTCCAGATTCTAACTTCTATTTTTGTGTGCTCTCCGTAGCGCAGGAGCAGCGAGAGCGGGAGCAGGATCAAAACGCGGGAGCCAGCGGCAAGCAAGGGAGGTAACGCGGGGAGGTGGTCTTGCATGGTAAGTGCCGTCGGATTTCGTTACGTTTATTTTTTTATTATGAAACTAACTTATTTTTGTGTGCGTTCTTCTTTAGCGCAGGCGAAGCGGGAATGGGAGCTCGCGGGCCGCGTGGCGACACTTCTTCGGGGACGTCTTACGCGCGCGCGGCGGGGCATCAAAGCACGTCGCACTGCGGCGCACGGTGCGTGGCGGCGCCTCTCTGCTGTTGGTGCTCTGTCGTCAAATTTCCGCTCGTCGCCTTTCTGCTCGTCGCCTTTTCGCTGTCGCCTTTTGCGCTGCTCTCTGCCGTTTCGTTTCTAAAATATCTAATGCCCTTTTTGTTGTCGTCTGTGGTGCAGGTAAGTTCTCGAGGGAGGCTCCACCCGTGGAGCAAGGAGCAAGGAGCAAGGAGCAAGGAGCAAGGAGTAGCGAGGTGGAATTTGACTTCCCCTCCCAGCCCGCCCTTCCTGTAGTTTTGGCGGGAGCGGGAGCAACCAGCGCAAGCGCGAGCAACCAGCGCAAGCGCGAGCAACCAGCGCAAACGCCAGGCCTGTAAGAGGTGTGGTGCTGGGTACAGGACGATTAGGAGCGCGTTAGCCTAGGCTCGATTTAGGCACACACACACATGGGCGATGGTATGGGTTCAGGTGTGTTCAGGTATGCCTCTTGACGGCTGGCTGTCCTCTTGACGGCTGGCCGTAATTCTGACAACGGGGAACCTATCGTCAATTTTGATGTGTTTATTTTCATCTGCCCGTCACTAAGTCCCGTTTCCCCCCCTCCCAAGCACTTCCCCCCCCTCACCCCCCCCCCTCCCCCTCCCAAACAGATCCCGCACGAATGACCTCCACCTCAACGCGGTGTGCGGGTGTAACGTCAGGGGCATTTGCCTCTGACGGCCAAGAGGGGTCAAGAAGACTTTCAAGCTGAGGGGTCAACAAGACAAGAAGATATGAAGATACCAAGACATGAAGATAACAAGATAAGAAGACGGCCAAGCTGCTTTGGAGTCGAGGCGCTGCTGTGAAGGCTCAAGTAGAGCTGTTTACACTTGGCTTAGGGAGCTTAGCTAGCTTAGCATACTCTCGGTTCTGACTTGTAACTCTCTATATAATGAAATACTCTCTGTACCTTCAATCACCTGTACTGTTAGCAACTTTCGTACCTTGGACAGAGTTCTGTCGTGAAACATATTAGGTGAAAGATATGGCTAGGACATGAGGGTTACGCTTTTTCGTAGTGAGTCATAACTCCAAACCTCGCGTCAGCCGCGGTGGAAGCGTACAGTTCGTCATGAAATTCGGTGAACTCGCGGTCTCGTCTCAGGTGCTCCTGAGTCTCAGTCCGTCTCGCAGTCTAGTCTCAGCTTCTCAGCGTCGATCTTCGAATTTGTGGCGGATTTCGACTTCTTTTTTGCGATTCGCCAGCTCGCCGATACGGGAGCATGCTTCCGCGAACCCCGCGAACCCAGTAGTTTAGTTGAATTGAAACAGAACGCGTTTTGCCGGCGTTTCTTCCCCCGCCGAACGCGGAGGCTCTGCTGTCGCTCGGCGCGCTGCAGCTGCTGCCGCTGCCGCTCGCGCAGGACAGCAAGGCTGTGCGATCCGCTGCGACTCTGTTGATGCTGTTGATGGGTCGCCTGGCGAATGTGTCGCACACGTGATCGGCAATCATGCCTTTTCTCATTGTCTGATCTCCTCTCCACACGTCCCGCGTTCTGTCCTTTGCTCCCTCTATCTCATGTCTTGCATCCTGCGTTCTGCCCCCTCCTATCTCGCGGCCTGCGTCCTGCGTTCCTCCCTCTGCCCCTCTACCTCTCATCTTCTCGACTACCTTGCCTGTACATCACACATTTCCATAACTCTTATCTCCCCATGTTTCATGGCAGCACGAGGCTGAGGCCGAGGCTGAGGCTGAGGCTGAGGCGCGGGGTGATGAGACATGGCAGCACCAGGCAGAGGCGCGGTGATGAGACATGGCAGCACCAGGCTGAGGCGCGGTGATGAGACATGGCAGCACCAGGCTGAGGCGCGGATAGCCCTCTCCTCTCAGTGCTGAGGGTTGCGGCACGCCACTCGCTGCTACATGCTACAGCCGTCGCAGATGCGGGCGGCATTACTGCCGCCGTCTCTCTGTTGGAATCACATGACTCCAAGACAAGGCGCCAGGTGCTGTCGTTGAACCTGGCACCTGTTGTTTCAATGCACTCATTGTATTTCCTTTCATCCCATGTCAGCACCTATCTGCTGCTCATGCATCCCCAACGCCCACTCCCAACCCCGGCCAGAATAATCACTTCTGCCATCCGCTGCAGCTTTATCCTTGCTCCTTTCCTCGTCTTCACCCTGCAGCTGCCCTTTTCTTCTCTCTACCCTTTTCTTCTCTCTGCCCTTGTTGTTTGCTCCTGTACCACCACTTGAACCTTGTTGTGTTCTGCTCTCCGCCCTTGTTCTCCTGTACCACCACTTGAACCTTGTCGTGTTCTGCTCTCTGCCCTTGTTCTCCTGTACCACCACTTGAACTTCTGCATACCTCCAGCACCTCTAATGCGCGCTTCCAGGCAGTCCGATTCAAGAGACTGATTGACCAGCACCACCCGCTGGAGCATGAGGGCCTGCGCGCGCAGTCCAAGTGTGTGGAGATTGTCAAGATTCACAGCTAAAGACATTGCAATGGTGTCACATATGGTACTTGCTTCCCAGCGGACACTGTACAGTGAATTCACAACTACACTCGTCTGAGCAGAGCCGTTGCGCGCAGTCCAAGTGTGTGGAGATTGTCAAGATTCACAGCTAAACACATCAGCAATGGTGTCACATATGGTACTTGCTTCCCATAGGTTACTGTACACAGTGATTTCACAACTACACTCGTCTGTACAATGGGTGTAGTGTAGTTCCACGTGAGCAAGCAGTAATAAACATTTCAAGCCGCAGGGGCTTTTCGTGTCTTTAACTCCTCTGCAGTCCAGCGGTACGGCAACAGCAGCTGAGCCACCCGCAGAGGCACATGTGCCGACAGTAACGTGCCTTCAGGGAGGTGCTCCTGTGCAGGCAAGGACGGGAAAGGGAGGAGAAAAGAGGGGGGAAAGGGGACAGATGAAGAGGCAGAACAGCAGCTGAGCCACCCCCAGAGGCACGTGCGCCGACAGCAACGTGCCTTCAGGGAGGTGCTCCTGTGCAGGTGGGGGAGGGGATAACAAGGGTGTGAGGAATGGGTGGGGGTGGGGGAAGAGGGTGAGGGTGGTATGGCAGCCGCAGCAGTTGCGCCATCCGCAGCGGCACATGTGCTGACAGCAACGTGCCTTCAGGAAGATGCTCCTGTGTGGATGGGACGGGGGAAAGAGGCAGATGGAAAGGAACAACAGCAGCTGAGCCACTCGCAGTGGCACATGTGCGGACAGCAACGTGCCTTCGGGAAGGTGCTCCTGTGCGGGTGAAAAAGGGGAGAACAAGGGTAGGAGGAATGGGTGGGGGTGGGGGAAGAGGGTGAGGGTGGTATGGCAGCAGCAGCAGCAGTTGCGCCACCCGCAGCGGCACATGTGCTGACAGCAACGTGCCTTCAGGAAGATGCTCCTGGGTGGGCGAAGGACAGGAAAGGGAGGAGAAAAGAGGGGGGAAAGGGGAGAGATGAAGAGGCAGAACGGCAGCAGCTGAGCCACCCATAGTGGAACAATCGCCTTCAGCACCAGATGGAGAGGCAGAAGAGAAGAGGAAAAAGGGAGGGTGCATTGCTACTCTGCCAGCAACGGGCAGTGAGGAGGTGCTCCTGTGTGGCCCTCCGGCTCTCTTCCCTTGCCATCTTGCAACAGCTCCCATCTCCCCCACCCCTCTCTGTCCACCACCCCAAGTTGTCCTCACCACTCTCACCTCTCTATCAACAGCGCCCAGCTGGTACACGAGCCCCAGCAGATGCCCCTCCTGGTACGGGATGATGGCTTCGATGCTCACCAGCAGGCCCTGTGAGCGACACATAGGTTCACAGGCGCACATGCATTCAGGGGGCATTCACAGGCGCACACATGGGATACTATGCAGGCATATCGTTGAGTCAACCCTGCAGGTGCCCCTCCTGGTACGGAATGATGGCGTCGATGCTCACCAGTAGGCCCTGCAAGCGGCACAGAGATTCACAGGCAACACACACATGGGAGCAGAGGAGCATTCACAGGTATGCATATTGTTGAGTCGCCCCAGCAGATGCCCCTCCTGGTACGGGATGATGGCTTCGATGCTCACCAGCAGGCCCTGAGAGCAGCACACACACACATGGGATGGGAGCAGAGGGGCGTTCACAGGAGGGCATATTTGCTCTCATGCACGCATGTCGTTTGAGTCGACTCTCAGATGCCCCTCCTGGTACGGAATGATGGCGTCAATGCTCACCAGTAGGCCCTGCAACCGACACATAGATTCACAGGCAACACACATGGGAGCAGAGGGGCATTGGCATCAGATGAGCATTCACATCACAGGGAGTCTCCCCAGCAGATGCCCCTCCTGGTACGGAATGATGGCTTCGATGCTCACCAGCAGGCCCTATGAAAGGCACACAGAGACATTCATGTAAATTCCCACATTACATGCACGTAGGGGGCATTCCCACATCACATGCATGTAGGGGGCATTCACAGATGAGAGCTGCAAGGAGCTGTGACTGGCATGCAGCGTTCTCATCTGGGACAGAATTGACTCATCGTGATCCGCATTGACTCACGTTGACCAGCATTGACTCACGTTGACCAGCATTGACTCACGTTGACCAGCATTGACTCACGTTGACCAGCATTGACTCACGTTGACCATCTTTTCCAGCTCGTGAAACAGTCCATCCATGCCCTCCCCAGTCACTGCAGACACCGCCACCATCCTGTGCCGCCCACCCTCTCTCCCGCCACCGTCTCTGCCGCCCGCACTGCTCTCTCTGCCGCCCGCACTGCTCTCTCTGCCGCCCGAATTCTGGTCCAAGATGGCCTCCAGCTGCAGCTGCTGCTGCTGCAGCCAATCAGGGGACACCTGGTCAACCTGAGGGCGGCAGGGGAAGAAGAGGAGAGATGAGGCAGTGCTGGTGCGATGCTGTGGCATGGATGTGTGTTGCTGGCGTGCATATGTGCTGCTGCCTCATGTGCAGCTTTCCACCAAGGTGTGGTGACGTGCTGATAGCTTCCACCTGCTGCTGCTGCTGCTGCTGCTGCTGCTGCTGCTGCAGCAGCCAATCAGGGGACACCTGGTCTACCTGGGGGCCGCAGCGGGGAGCAGGGGAGAGACAAGGGACTGCTGGTGCGATGCTGCGGAGTGGATGTGTGCTGCTGTCTGCTGTGCAGCTTAGGTGAAAACCGGATTCTGTTTTTTTTTTTGTGCGCATGTTACTGCGTACACTTAGTACAGTGTAGCTTTTTTGATGAGGGAAAGGGGGAAAAAAGGGCTTTCAGGTAAATCCAGCGAGTCCATACTCTGTAGCGAGGCATACCATATTGAGGACAAAGAGGCAGACCTTATTGAGTACGGTGATCATGGGGATGTGGGAGACTTCCAGCTCAGCAAGCACTTGCAGCACCGCCGCCACCTGTTGCGCCGCCATTGGATGGCTGTTCAATGGGGGGAAGAGGAGGGCAGGAGAGGTAAAGGAGTAAGTATGGCAGGATGGGCGAAGAAGAATGAAAGGAGAGCAAGTGAGTAGTTCACCTGATGGCTCACCTGACAGCTCACCTGACAGCTCACCTGACAGCTCACCTGACAGCTCACCTGACGGCTCACCTGACGTCCACCACATGCAGCAGCACCGACGCCTCTGTGATCTCCTCCAGCGTGGCTCTGAACGCTGCCACCTGGCGCAACCCGATTGGTTGGTTCCGGCACAGGCAAGGAGGCATGGCATTGCAAATGGACGCGTTTAGGAGTGCTGAAGAGGGTGCAAAACGGTGGAGAGGGGTGAAGGGCGGTGAACGTGGTGAAGAATAAGAGGCAGGTGGGGACGACTGAATGCTTATACTGACTCGCTCATTTGTTAAAGGAACAATCGACGCTCACCAGCTGGGTGGGCAGCTTCTGAATGAACCCCACTGTGTCCGTCAACAGACACTCCTTGCCGTTGGGTAGCTGGGGGGGGGTGAAGGTAGAGAAGGGGAGGGAGAGAGGAGAAGGGAGAGGGGAGAGGGAAACGAGGAGGGGAAAGGGCAGCTTATGAATTAGCTCCAACGTGTCCGCACGCCCGCTTCTGTAAGCCAGTTGAGCAGGGTGCTCTCGCCCTCGTTGGTGCAGCGTATGAGCGGGCGGTGCAGCGAATGAGCGGGCGGTGCAGCGTATGAGCGGGCGGTGCAGCGTATGAGCGGGCGGTGCAGCGTATGAGCGGGCGGTGCAGCGTATGAGCGGGCGGTGCAGCGTAGGAGCGTGCGGCGCAGCGTGTGAGCGTGCGGTGCAGCGTGTGAGCGTGCGGTGCAGCGTGTGAGCGGGCGGTGCAGAGAATGAGCGGGCGGTGCAGCCTATGAGCGTGCGGTGCAGCCTCAGCATCAGCATCAGCATCAGCATCAGCATCAGCATCAGCATCAGCATCAGCATGAGCATCAGCATGAGCATCAGCATGAGCATCAGCATGAGCATGAGCATCAGCATGAGCATCAGCATGAGCATCAGCATGAGCATCAGCATGAGCATGAGCATCAGCATCAGCATCAGCATCCCACCAATGACGGTTGAGCGACTGTGTGTGTGGGAGTGGATGTGGCCTGCAATAGGGCCAGCAGCAGCAGGCAAACCCACCTGTGTTCTGCGAGTGGTGGGGTCCAGCGTAGCAAACAGCTTGTCTTCTGTCAACACACCGGCTCCTGTAAGCCGGTTGAGCAGAGTGCTCTTGCCCGCGTTGGTGTATCCCACCAGCGACAGCACCGGGATGGGCAGCCTATGTGTGTGTGGTGGGGATGTGTGCAGCAACCAACCCACCTGGGTGCGGCGAGTGGTGGGGTCCAAGGTGGCGAACAGCTTGTCTTCTGCCAGCACCCCCGCCCCTGTGAGCCGGTTGAGCAGAGTGCTCTTGCCGGCGTTGGTGTAACCCACCAGAGACAGCACCGGGATGGGCAGGCCAGCTCGCCGGTCCCTGTGCTGCTGTCTGTGCTCTCTCACTGATGTGAGGCTGCGCCTAAGAGCTGCCATCTGGAGGGGAGAAGCAGGAAGGAGGAGGAGGGGAAGAAGAGGGAGAGGGTTGGCTGGTGCATCCCACCAGAGACAGCACCGGGATGGGCAGCCCTGCCCGCCGGTCCCTGTGCTGCTGCCGGTGCTCCCTCACCGATGTCAGGCTGCGTCTCAGTGCTGCCATCTGGAGGGGAGAAGAAGGAAGGAGGAGGAGGGGAAGAGGAGGGAGAGAGGGTTGGTTGGTGTAACCCACCAGCGACAGCACCGGGATGGGCAGGCCAGCTCGCCGGTCCCTGTGCTGCTGTCTGTGCTCTTTCACTGATGTGAGACTGCGCCTAAGCACTGCCATCTGGGGGGGAGAAGCAGGAAGAAGGAGGAGGGGAAGAGGAGGGAGAGAGGGTTGGTTGGTTGGTGTATCCCACCAGTGACAGCACCTGGATGGGCAGCCCTGTGTGTTTGTTCCGGTGCTGCTGCTGGTGCTCCCACCACCAGTGACAGCACCGGGATGGGCAGGCCAGCTCGGTGGTCCCTGTGCTGCTGCCGGTGCTCCCTCACCGATGTCAGGCTGCGCCTCAACGCTGAAATCTGGTGGAAGGGAGATGGGGGAATAGAGGGAATGGGGAAAGATAGAGGGGGAGAGGTGACGATGCTGCCTGTGATCGCGCATCAATACCAGGCTGTGCTGCAACGGTGTCATGCAGAGGGAGGGGAGGGGGAAGAGGAGGGGGATATGATGATGATCCGCTTGTCCACTTCAATCTGCTTCTCCCCCATGCCCTGCACCATGCCGCCTGCCTGCCTGCCTGCCTGGTGAACAGCCTCACAGATAACCGCAACAGCAACCCTTTCCCACCTATCATGTGTCTCACCCGTTCGCGAATGATTCGTTTGTCCACTTCGATCTGCTTCTCCCCCATGCCCTTCACCATGCCCTTCACCATGCCGACAGCCTGCCTGCCTTGTGAACAGCCTCAAAGTATCCGCAACAGCAACCCTTTCCCACCTCTCATGTGTCTCACCCACTCTCGAATGATGCGCTTATCAACCTCAATCTGCTTCTCCCCCATGCCCTTCACCATGCCGCCTGCCTTGTGATTAGATTTACAGGCAACCCTTTCCCACCCTTTCCCCCTAATTTCTTTGACTCACCCGCTCTCTGATAATTCGTTTATCCACTTCGATCTGCTTCTCCCCCATGCCCTTCACCATGCCGCCTGCCTGTCTTTCCAGATGCGTCCACATGCGGGTTAGGCGCGGTAGCTGGTACTCAAGTTGGGCTAGTTGCACCTGGTGGGGAGTAAATTGAGGATAAACACACAGCAGGGGATAAAAAAAGGCAAGGGAGTGAGAGAGGGCAGTTGCGTGCATTTGTCAACCCCACCATGCCGCCTGCCTGCCGCTCCAGATGCGTCCACATGCGAGTCAGGCGCAGCAGCTGGTACTCTAGCTGGGCTAGTTGCACCTGATGGGGGTCGGGAAGCCGTACGACAAACAGGGGGGGAGATCAAGTTGCATGCACGCATGAGTCAGCCCCACCACCTCTCCAGATGTGTCCACATGCGAGTCAGGCGCGGCAGCTGGTACTCTAGCTGGGCCAGCTGCACCTGTGGGGGGTACGCAATGCACACGCAGCAGCAAGGGGGGGGGGGGAGGGGAAGAGCCAGGCGTGTGTCAGCTCAACCACCTCTCCAGATGTGTCCACATGCGAGTCAGGCGCGGCAGCTGGTATTCAAGTTGAGCCAGCTGGACCTGGTGGGATGGGGGAGGACGGGGAAAGAGACGGTTAACGGGGACAGAGAGGCGGAGAGGGGGAAGTGGGAGGGGGGAGAGAGCGCACCTGAAATTCATTCTCACCTGCAGAGCACCTTCCTTGGTGCAGCTGCAGCTTGGGAACTGCAGATTGGAGCTGCAGTTCCAGCTTGGGGACTGGAGCTGCAGTTCCAGCTTGGGGACTGGAGCTGCAGTTCCAGCTTGGGGACTGGAGCTGCAGTTCCAGCTTGGGGACTGGAGCTGCAGTTCCAACCGCGGAACAGGAGCTGCAGATCTGGCGCTGCGGAACAGGAGCTGCAGTCCCGGCTTGGGGACTGGAGCTGCAGTCCCGGCTTGGGGACTGGAGCTGCAGTCCCGGCTTGGGGACTGGAGCTGCAGTCCCGGCTTGGGGACTGGAGCTGCAGTCCCAGCTTGGGGACTGGAGCTGCAGTTCCAGCCTGGGAACTGGAGCTGCAGGTGTAGCTAGGAAATTGCAGCTTGGAAACTGCAGCTTGGAAACTGCAGCTTGGAAACTGCAGCTTGGAAACTGCAGCTTGGAAACTGCAGCTTGGAAACTGCAGCTTGGGAACTGCAGCTTGGGAACTGCAGCTTGGGAACTGCAGCTTGGGAACTGCAGCTTGGGAACTGCGTCGGCTGAAGATGTCAATGATGAGCGCTGGGCGACTCATGGAGCTGACACGGGCAATCTCCTGCATGTGATTCCCCTCACGGTGCAAGAAGCTCAGCTGAGTACAGCTCACCTGCAGAGCGGCCTCCCTGGTGTTGGCTTTTTGGCTGAATATGTCACCATCCCTCCACACCCATTCCCCTGCTGCATGTGCATACCCTCATATGTGCCACGAATACAACTCTAGTACCCACCCACTTGCAGAGCAGCCTCCTTGGTGTTGGCTCGCTGACTGAAGATGTCCATGATGAGTGCCGTGCGACTGCTGCGCGAGTGCATGCATGCTCCCACACGCAATGCAAGTGGGAGCATGCAATGCAAGTGGGAGCATGCAATGCAAGTGGGAGCATGCAATGCAAGTGGGAGCATGCAATGCAAGTGGGAGCATGCAATGCAAGTGGGAGCATGCAATGCAAGTGGGAGCATGCAATGCACCTGTGAGCCCGGAATGCCACGCGAGCACCCACAGGTGCAAAATGATGACCTCACCTGCAATTCGTGCTCACCTGCAGGGCTCACCTGGTGTTGGATCGTTGACTGAAGATGTCAATGATGAGTGCTATGCGATCGCACACTCTGATGTTGCCATCCCTACATGCCCCCCCCCCCTGCTGCATGTGCATACCCTCATATGTGTCACGAACATAACTCTAGTACCCACTCACCTGCAGAGTGGCCTCCTTGGTGTTGGCTCGTTGACTAAGTATGTCACTGATGAGCGCCGTGCGATTGCTGCGCGAATGCATGCATGTGAATGCACACTCCCACACACGTGCAACATGATACCACATGGGTCTGACTATCCCACCTGCAGAGTTGCCTCCTTGGTGTTGGCGCGCTGGCTGAAGATGTCCACGATGAGTGTGACTGCATGCTCCAACACGTGTGAGCCCACCTGCAGTGCGACCAAGGGTACCTGCAGGGCAGCCTCCTTGGTGTTGGCGCGTTGGCTGAAGATGTCAATGATGAGTGCCGTGCGATTGCTGTGCGAGTGAGTGCATGTCCCCACACGTGCAATGCAAATAGCTCATCTCCACTACCCACAGGTGCAAGGTTCTCAGCTCCAGTATTAACTCACCTGCAGGGCAGCCTCCTTGGTGTTGGCGCGTTGGCTGAAGATGTCAATGATGAGTGCCGTGCGGTCGCACACCCTCACGTCGCCCCCAAACTCTTTCTCCAAGTTGCGCAGCTGACTGCAGGACAAGTAACAGGGGAGATACGCAGGCGGAATGATAGAGTCAAGAGCGACAATATAGTGCCATGCGGTTACACACCCTCACATCGCCCCCAAACTCTTTCTCCAAGTTGCGCAGCTGACTGCATGGCAGAAGGAAAAGAGGGGAGCAGGCAAGAATCAGAAGGAGTAGAGTGGGTGAGAAGCAATGAGCCCCGTGCGGTCATACACCTGCTGCTCGCTGGAATGTCTCTTAATCAGCGGTCATACACCCTCACGTCGCCCCCGAACTCCCGCTCTAATTTGCGCAGCTGATTGTGTGCCGGAAGGGAGAGGGAGGAGGGGGCAAGCAGGAACTAGAGGAGGAGAGAGATCAAGTGGACGAGAGGCAATGAGTACCGTGCAATTGCACACCCTCATTTCTGTGCAAATGAGCTGACCCCAAACCAAACTCTTTCTCCAAGCTGCAGAGCTGACTGTGTGTGTGTGTGTGTTCGAAGGGGAGAGGGGGGGAGGGGGGGGCGTTGAAAGACAGGGGGGAGAGATAGAGGCGAACTACAGTGAGTGCTGTGCAGTCGCAGTCGCACACCCTCAGGTGACTGTGTGCACGGAGGGGAAAGGGACAGGGGAGGGGGTGGGTTGAGAGTGCAAGAGATAGAGGCGAAAAACAGTCAGCGGTTGCTGTCACACACCCTCCACGCGCATCCCAAACCCACATAGACACAAGTGCAGTCAACAACACATGTACACTAACTGCTCCCACTCACCCCCAACCTGCCACACACTATCACTCACCCCCAACCTGCCAGCCACACACTATCACTCACCCCCAACCTGCCACACACTATCACATCACTCACCCCGCCCCGCGCTCAGCTCTTCATCAAAGTCTCCCACCAGCCCATGCCTTCCACCACTGCTCGCACCTCCCCCACTTAACCCACTTCGATGCGCACACCAACCAACCAATCCCCCTCCTAACTCTCACTCACCCCGCACTCAGCTCGTCATCAAACACCACCATCTCCACACCCATGCCCGGCCCCCTTGGTCGCATATGCATTCAACACACGTACGATAACCGTTTCCCCCCAATTCCCCAACCACTCCCCCCCAACCCCTCACCCAATCCCCTACCAACCCCTCACCCAATCCCCTACCAACCCCTCACCCACGCTCAGCTCGTCGTCAAACACCACCCTTTCAACGCCCATGCCCGCCACCGCTGCTCACATGCGCATGCAATGTGTGCTAACATCAGCTCGCTCTCTCACTCACCCCCAGCTCAACACTCACCCCACGCTGAGCTCGTCGTCAAACACCACTGTCTCCACGCCCATGCGCGCCCCACACCGCCACATGTGCATTCAGCACATGCACATTACCTGCTACCACTCACCCCCGTCCCCCCAACCCCCCTCACCACTCACCCCGCGCTCAGCTCATCATCAAACACCACCGTCTCCACGCCCATGCCTGACATCGAAGGCCACACGCGCATTCAGCATATGCAGACAGCACGAGCACTCTCTACTTCCCCTGAGCACTCTCCCCTCCCCACCACTCACCCCGCGCTCAGCTCATCATCAAACACCACCGTCTCCACTCCCATGCCTGACACCGCTGCTCGCACCTCCTCCACCTTGCCGGCCCCGATGTACGTGCGTGGGTTGGGGCTTGCTACCCTGGGAGACGTGAAAAGGGGAAGGGGAAGAGGCAGGCAGGAGGAGTGGGGGCGGTGTCTTGAAACCATGCCCGCCACCGCTGCTCGCACCTCCTCCACCTTGCCGGCCCCGATGTACGTGCGTGGGTTGGGGCTTGCTTCCCTGGGAGACGTGAAAAGGGGAAGGGGAAGAGGCAGGCAGGAGGAGTGGGGGCGGTGTCTTGAAACCATGCCCGCCACCGCTGCTTGCACCTCCTCCACCTTGCCGGCCCCGATGTACGTGCGTGGGTTGGGGGACGCTACCCTGGGAAAGGGGGACGGGATGAGGAGAGGAGAGGTGGGGGAGATGGGGCGAGAGGGGGGAGAGGGGTTTCACAGTGCCTTGAAACCATCCCAGCCACCGCTGCTAGCACCTCCTCCACCTTGCCTGCTCCGGTGTATGTGCGTGGGTTGGGGGACGTTACCCTGGTAATGGCAAGGATGGGAAGAGTTGGGGAAGGGCGCAGGGTGGGCTTGGTATCACGGCAGTGGCGCTGCTCGCACCTCCTCCACCTTGCCTGCTCCAATGTACGTGCGTGGGTTGGGGGACGCTACCCTGGGAGGGGTATTGGTGGGGGGAGGAGGGGGTGAGGAAGGGGAAGGCAGAGCTCTTATGCCCGCCACCGCTGCTCGCACCTCCTCCACCTTGCCCGCTCCTATGTACGTGCGTGGGTTGTGGGACGCTACCCAGGTAGAGGCCAAGAAGGCACACGGGGAAAGAGGAAAGAGGGAGGGAGGCGGGAAGGGAGAGACGCGGGAGGAGGAGTTGCAATGGAGGCATGACACTGACGCTGCCCCCAACTCCTCCTCCTTGCCTGCGGGTGAAGGGGGAGGGGGGGTGTGGGAAGTAGGAGAAGGAGGAAGCAAGGAAACAGCGCCATCCGCTGCAAACACAACCGCTTGTAGCATCTCTGGAACCTTCTTCATCATGCTGCAAGCTTACCTCTTTAATCTGCTCACATCTGGTACGAGGTTTTTGAAGCCTCATAGAAATCGCCCGCTTACCCCTTCAATCTGTCCACCTCACCTCTGGTGCGGGGGATGCGGAGGGGGAGGGGGATGTGGAGGCGGACGGGGAGGCGAAGGGGGAGCGGGAGGGGCGTGCAGGGGGCCTCACCTCTGGTGCGTGGTGCCTACGACTTTGAGTCCAGCCGTCTCCACCAGCTGAGACAGCTCCGCCCGCGACTCCTCTATGGGGAAGAGCGTGGGTGCTGAGGGGGAGGCGGAGGGGGACGCGGGTGCAGCGGACCTGACCTCTACGCCCACCAGGAAGGCTCGCTCCTCTAGAATCTGATTGGTGGAGAGAGGACAAGAAAGGGGGAAGGGTGAGGGAGAAGTGAAGCGGACCTGACCTCGACGCCCACTAGGAAGGCTCGCTCCTCTAGAATCTGATTGGTGGAGAGAGGACAAGAAAGGGGGAAGGGTGAGGGAGAAGTGAAGCGGACCTGACCTCGACGCCCACTAGAAAGGCTCGCTCCTCTAGAATCTGACAGGGGAAGGGGGAGGGTGGGGGCGGGGAGGGGAAGAGGAGGGAATGGGAGGAAGGAAAGGAGGTTGGAATAGGGGGTGAGGGAATGCATGCGCTGCACATGTGCAGTGCAGGTGGCAGGTACGGGCACGACTGGCCTGTGAGAACCGCCTGCCTCTTCATCCACCCCTTCTGACCACACCAAACCTTCCCAATTCCTACCAATTTCTAAAACGCGATCCTGGAATCTGCATCCTCCCCTCACCTCGCGCCCATTCCGCAATCTGAACCGTTTGGTCATCTCTTCGTCTGACGACCACCCACCTTCCCTTCCGCCCTCACCTCACCTCACCCCTTCCCCTAATCCTTCCCCTTCCCCTCAACCCCCCCCCTCTCCCCTCACCTCGCGCCCATTCCGCAATCTGAACCGTTTGGTCATCTCTTCGTCTGACGACCACCCACCTTCCCTCCCGCCCTCACCTCACCTCCTCCCTTCCCCTAATCCTTCCCCTTCCCCTCAACCCCCCCCTCTCCCCTCACCTCGCGCCCATTCCTCAATCTAAACCGTTTGGTCATCTCTTCGTCTGACGACCACCCGCCCGTCAGATCCTTCCCGCCCTCCCCTTCCTCTGACTGCCACGTGGCAAACGTAGCATCCCACCCTTCCCCCTCCGCCTCTTCCCCTGCCTGTGCTTCCCCTTGCCCTGCCCCTTGCCCTTCCGCCACCCCCCATTCAAACCACCCGCTTCCCCCGTCGCCTTCCGCACTACCGCCCCCTCTCCCCCCTTCCACTCCGCGTGCTGCTGACGTCACTCCTTCCAGATCTTCCGCTGGTCCTCGAGATTCCCCTAAAGCGGCGGAAAAAGCGGAGGAATCTGACGGACTGGCACGATCCGGCGGAAGCGCGCGGGGAGCTAGACTCGTTCGTCTGCGGAACTCGCGAGACGCGGCGGTCGCGGCGCTTCGTCCGCCGCTTGTCGCGGACGAGCGCCGCACGTGCAGGGCAGCGCGCGGAAACCGACCGCCAAGCGCCGACTGCGCACTCGCGACAAAGTCTACATGCTCGGCGCGCAGGGGAGTGTGGTCGACAGATCTAGGCCGCAGGGGGGCGGAGACACATTGAGAAGATCGGCGATTTCTGATGGACGGAGGCGCGCAGAAAACGACGGAATGTGTTTGTGGACAGGTCGTGGCGCTACACGAGGCTATCATGGCGACGCGAGCAGCAAGATTCTGAATTTGGGTCAACTATAAAACTCAGCTACACGATCCTGCTGCTGGTACTTGGGCCAAGCAATTGCGGGAGCGCAGCAACGATTGCAAGCTGTAAGGAAAATCCCTTTTTCCTTACTTCGCGTCCCTGCTCAGCGCGTACACCACTGTTCCCGCCAGCTGCACCCAACAGTAATCCGTTACCACTCGCGACACTCGCGTACACCACCATTCCCGCCACCATTCACGACGCGACCCAACCTCACGGTTCGGTTGGTAACCCGCGCTCCGGACCTCCGCCTCGACATCTCCCAACCTCGGCACTAGGCCCGTCGCGCACCCCACTTTTCACATTACCGTTACCACTATAGTTTCGCTATATATTCTTCGCTCATACCTTCTCTCATTGTACTCTTGCTTCGATAGTGCAATTCTCGCTCGTTCACTCAATTGCACTCGTAACACTTGGTTATCAGAGCCTACGATCTCTTCTCGGACCGTACCCACACCTTCGCTTCCCCACTATCTCAATTTTTGGGGGGGGTAGACGTCTCTCAGCGAACAAGCACCGCCGCTCGAAGTGCTCTCTCGTAAGCACGCACGGCCACGACAGAGGCTCCCGCTGAGTTTGCCCGACACCCCCGCCATGGCCGACATTAATCTTGCGACATTGACGCAGGAGCAACTCGACCGTCTCGTGCGTCAACTCGAAGATTCGGCACTCGAAATCGCGACACTCACGGCGGAACGTGACTCCGCCCGCCAGCAATCAACGGTGAATGCACCAGCTCCATCACAAGCACCCGCAAATGCACCTGCGCAATCAGAAGAACCAATCGTCATCTCATCCGGCACACCAACGCAAAACGACAGCGTGGGACAGCGCTCAGGCGCAGCCAGTGATGGCGCCGCTCAATCGATGCCTGGCATGGAGAGAAATCGGGCCGCGCCAAGCCCGCGTGGGCCTCGCGAAGCTCGTCGGCACGTGGAGTTTGCAGCAACAAGTGGCAACCACGACATCATGGCACCAATGCCACTCAAGCCGCAGCGCCCGCCCTGTTTCGATCCAAGCCAACGTGGAGGTCCGACGGTTCAATCGTGGGTCTTCACGATGAACGTCTTCTTCGACGCAAACTACGTCGAGTCGGACGCAGCGAAGATCAGATACGCCGTCTCGCTGCTGAGGGGTCCTGCCATGGACTGGTGGCGAGTCATCGTGACGTCGCCACGCGCCTACGAGCCACCGTCGCAAGAGGAAGGGCCCACGGGCCCAGCTGTCACCTGGAGTTCATTCTGCGAAACCGCCCAATACAGCACGTGGGATGCGTGGTGCGCAGGGCTTCGGGCGCGTTTCGAGCCGATCGCGGCTTCTATTTCGGCGCGTCAGAAACTGCGTACTTGGCGGCAGCTCGGATCGGTCCAAGACTACACGAGCGGTTTTCTCGCATTATGCGAGCAAGTCGGCTATATGCACGAAGCGGAGCGGGTGGACCGTTACGTCGGAGGGCTGAAGCCGGACATCTCGCACGAAATCATGCTACGCGGACTCTCGAATTTCAACGAGATTCTCGCGCTCGCCGAGAAAATCGACATTTTACGCCGCCCGAGACCGGGGTCCTACTACGGACATCGCCCTCGGGGACCAATCGAGCACGCCACTGTACACGCGGTTGCGACGAACGCAGCTGCCGCGCCGTTTAAGGGGCGCTGCTTCGCTTGCAATAGGCCGGGCCATCGTAAGAGTGAGTGCCCAGAGGAGCTGAGGCGCCGCGGAGCAGAGCAGGGGAGGGAGTCTCTAAGGCAGGGAAACGCCAGCAGTCAGTAGGAATCAGGCCAACTACTGACGAGACTGCCTGCTCGCCCAACCACACCGACCCTCACCGAGTCACAGTACCGATTCACGCTATCGATCGGGCTCGGATGAATAAGGAGGGTACAGCGGCAACGGCCTACAGCCTATCGCCTACGAGTCACGAAAGCTGCATCCGCCCGAAAAAAAATACCCGATACACGACCGCGAAATGCTCGCGATCGTGCATGCGTTCAAGGTCTGGCGCTGTTACTTGACTGGCGCAGACGTGACAGTACGGACAGACCACCGATCCCTACAGTACCTCCGCGCACAGCCCCACCTCAACCCACGACAGATCCGCTGGCTCGATTTCCTCGAGTCAAACTTCCACTACACGGTCACCTACAAAAAGGGAGCATCCAACATCGCTGACGCACTGACCCGCCCCACTGCCCAAATCCACGCGATACTACTCGCCCAGACCAGCCCGCTACTGACAGGACTATTTACCCACGGGTATCAAACGGACCCATTCTTCACAGGAGGAAATTCGCAGCAGTTCGCAGCAGCCAAGGGAGTCTATTACGTAAAAGCCGGGACCGACCGCATCTGGGTACCAGGATACACACTGCTACGGGAATTACTGTTACAGGAGGCACACGACGGAGTTACCTCGGGACATTTCGGGGTAGAGAAAACACGGCAGCAGTTGCAGCGGTATTATTACTGGCCCGAGATGTTGACCGACGTTCAACGACACGTGGCATCGTGTCCCACTTGCCAGATCATGAAGTCATCACGGAAACGGCCGGCAGGATAGTTGCAGCCGATACCACCCCCAGAGCATGCTTGGCAGCAGGTGACGATGGACTTCGTCACGGGGTTACCGACCGGAGCAAGTGGGAATGACGCGATCCTGGTCGTCGTCGATCGACTGACGAAAATGGCACACTTCGCAGCCTGCAAAAAATCAATCACAGCCGAAGAAACAGCCCGCCTCTTCATCTCTACCGTCGTTCGACTGCACGGGATACCAGCATCGATCATCAGCGACAGAGACACGAAATTCACCAGCAACTTCTGGCGGAACCTGTGGCAGCAGTTCGGCACGCGACTACAGTTTAGTTCATCATACCACCCCGAAACCGACGGACAGACAGAACGGACAAATCAGACCATGGAACAACTCATCCGAGCCACGTGCGACGACCCGACCACGTGGGAACAGCAACTGCCACTCATCGAATTTGCGTACAACAACTCGCCATTCGCCACGACCCAACAGTCACCGTTTTACCTAAACTACGGACAAGACCCCACAGTACCCATGACTCCGAATCCCGACAACCCAGTCCCACGCGCGCAACAGTTCGCAGAAATACTGCAAGCAGCACGGACCCGAGCAGCAGAAGCGATAAAGAAATCAAACATCATCGCTAAACGCAACGCTGACCGCCACCGCCGACCTGTCACTTACCAGCCAGACGACCTAGTTTTACTCGACACTCAAAACCTCCGCCTGCCCATCACCCCAAAACTCCGCCCCCGATATTGCGGGCCATTTCACATCAGCCACATGATCACACCCGTCACCGCCCATCTCCTCCTCCCTGCTGACTGGTACGTCAGCCCGTCATTCCACGTCAGCCTACTTCGCCCATACGTGCCATCCACCAGCCAACTGTCTCGCAACCGCCCCGCCAGCATGACACGACCACGAACTGAACCAATCATCACGCCTGAGAAAATACTGAGCCATCGAGTACGTGACCCACGGGGAGCCCGCAGAATCGAATTCCTGATCCGCTGGAAGGACCGCACGCCCACCGAAGACAACTGGGTCCCCCTGGATAGAATTGAGAATCACCCTGTCCTCACTGAGTATCTGCGAAGCCGAAACTTCCGAGATGTACACGCGCTCTCGTAAAGAGGGGCCTCCTTGGGGAGGGGGGTAGTGTAAGGAAAATCCCTTTTTCCTTACTTCGCGTCCCTGCTCAGCGCGTACACCACTGTTCCCGCCAGCAGCACCCAACAGTAATCCGTTACCACTCGCGACACTCGCTTCGACACCATTCCCGCCACCATTCACGACGCGACCCAACCTCACGGTTCGGTTGGTAACCCGCGCTCCGGACCTCCGCCTCGACATCTCCCAACCTCGGCACTAGGCCCGTCGCGCACCCCACTTTTCACATTACCGTTACTACTGTAGTTTCGCTATATATTCTTCGCTCATACCTTCTCTCATTGTACTCTTGCTTCGATAGTGCAATTCTCGCTCGTTCACTCAATTGCACTCGTAACACAAGCTCACATGCTCGAACATGGAAGAACTGAGCTAACTCTTTAGAAGGTGCAAACTTGCTGGAATGAAAGTGCAGCCCGTTATAAGTTATGATGTTTGGTAATTCAATCACTATCGGTTGAACATATTAGTTACGTTTACGACATTTATTTGACCTACAAATAATGTACAGCGAGAACACAGTGCAGGTCTGCCTTGCATCTACAGGTGCGCGAATGTTACCCGAGCCGAAGTCGCAGCATGCGCGAAATTTCCAACTCTTCCCCCTCCACCACTTCGCTGCGCACATTTCTTCGTCGAGTTCAAATCAGCTGCAAGCTGAATTAGCCACGCGGCGCCTCCCACATCCCTCAGGCTTGCCTTGCATTGCGAGCAACTAATAACATTTCCACGCGACGGGAGATCCAACCGTGCAGGTGAGGTGGTTGAGAAAGGCCCAGTCTGAGCCGATCCGTCTTTGTCGTGGCGAGCCCCGTCGAAAGGGCGATCAGCCCTGCCCAGCGAGCCTCGCCCCGCTCGTAGCATCTGGAGCGTCCATTCCCCGCACGATCACCGTCCCGGCGGGGCTGATGCGACTTGAGCTCGTTCGTCCCAAAGGTCGATCCGACTCAAGCGTAGCTGCCGTAGCTCGGGATGCCGCACGCGGCGGCGGCACCTGCGCCGCTTCTTAGGTAGCTTGGGAATATCTCATTCCGCTTCGCGCCTCCGTTCCCGCCGAACGCGGAACCGTGCGTGTGCGCGGGGACTTGCGGTTTGTCCTGCGCCGCGCGCTGCTGCATGTTAAGCGGGAAGAGCTTCTGGATAGACTCGTCTCCGGGCAGGCGAAGCGCGGGGGAGTCGGAAAACGTGAGAGCGAAAAGAACGTGTTCGGGCATGTTGACAGCTGACGCCGACATGAATCTGTTCCGCGGTCCGGACGCGAGGGGTACGATGTCGACGATCTCGAGGCGCGCGCGTTGGAACTCCATTTCCTCAGATTGCTGCTGCGCCTCGTCGAAGTTAAGGCAGACGGATTTAATGTCCGAGAAGTCGAGCTCGCCCTGCTCGTTCTCCTCCGGCTCGCAGTGGTAGTCGTCGGCCGCCGAAGCGGACTCGCGGGCGGAATAGACGGACGCGGCTTGCGATTGCTGCTCGTGCCAAGAGCTCTGCGAGGAGGCTGGAGAGGAGAGAAGGAAAGGACGAGAGGCGAGAGAGCATAGGTCAGTCACTTCGTTCGTCGAAGTAAAAGCTCGCTGACAGCCCGTGGGAAATTGCAAAGGGGGAAAATGGAGAGAGCGGAGATGTTTCAAGATACTCACTTTCGGAGGCTGCCGCGCTGCTCGCTCGCAGGAGCTTCTCGCGAAGCGACGATTCCCTCATCGTCGCCGTCTGCTGCGACACCGCGCGAGGGTCGCTCGATTGTCGCCATGCGCGATTCGCCGGCGACTGGCCCGACGCCTCAGACGACGCGCAGCTGAAGCTCGGCATGAGCGGAGTCACGGGCGAACCGGTGTAGCTGCCGTAGTCGCTGAGTCCCGCTAGAGACGCCACGTTGGTGCCTTTGCTCCCCGAATTAGTCGACGTGAATCGCGCGTTGCCGCCCATCTGCTGCTGCAGCAGCTGCTGCGCGAGCGACACAAGGCCGGTCGACGGGCGACTGTTACCCGACGACGTGTTAGAGGGGGTATCAGAGATTATCGACAGCGCACCGGAGTTGTTCGCGGAGTTCGGCTGGGAGGTCAGCGGGCTGCCGAGGCCGCTTCTGGGAGAAGAGACGCGGCAGATGAGGTCTCTTCTCCGTCAGCGGGCTGCCGAGGCCGCTTCTGGGAGAAGAGACGCACAAGAGGTCAGCGCGGCGAGTTGAGGTCGTTAAAGCCGCAGATGTCGGAAAGATTCGCCACGCTGTTGGAGTCGGAGTCGCCGCAGATGTCGGAGAGATCAACAGCGCTGTCGGGGAAGCGCGGATCGGCGGCATTTACAAGCGCGGGCGGCTGCTTGCGCCACTCCTCGGTGTTCTCGGTGCGCAGAGTGAACTTGCTGAAGTGCGAGGCTGCAGACTCGTCACCCCATGGACTAGCTGTGGCTGTGGCCATGCTGATCGCAAGCACTTACGAGTTCTATGGGATGGGTGGACCAGAAACTGCTTCGGCGTTTGTTTTTCTATCGAAAGGCTGTAGTGTCACAAGGTTTGTGTGTGTGAGCGACGCTTCAAGGTGTTTAGCTGGCTGGAACGGAGCTTGCTTTAGACTGGAGGTGGGAAGATGAGGTGTTGAAAGTAAAGGTTGCGTATGCTTGAGGTTTGCCTTGCTGGAACTCCCTCTTTGTAGGTGGCTCACCCTTCACCGCAACCCCGTCCTTGCTGGATGCCTGGGAAATTGGAGGTTCCTGTGGGTCGTGTGTGTGAGGGGTGGATCGAGCCGCTTGGCTGCTGCTAGACGCGCTTCGACATCTCCCCTCCCTCGTGGGTTTTCCCTGCCCCCCCCAACCCTTCCCCCACATGGCGTGGATGAACAGTTGTGTTGCATCGTTTCGTTATCCACACACCAACGCTAATGAACAGAGTAGCACTGAGGGAGTAAGGGCGTGTCTGAAGTGCAAACGTCGAGTTTCGTCAAATTTCGTCGACGAAACTCATCCGTGGGACCCACGCGTGTTGGTGTCTGAAGTGCAAACTGACATCCCTCGACGAAACTCGACGTTCGTGCACATGTCGAGGGATGTCGAACAGTGATACCGGGCAGCTGTTTGAGTCACTGTAGTCAGTGAGTGTTTCAAAAAACAATTCTTCGACACGCCATGTCTGCATAGCTGTGGCAAACACACGTGAATAAGAACTAAGACGAGAGCGACACGTGCTAGAGAAATTTCGCTGGCAATGTGACAGTAGAATATCCGGTGTTACCAGCAACAATCTATGCTAAGCGAAATTCGCGAGATTGCAAACAATTGAGTTACATGAATGATTCTGTTAATTCCACGTCGAATTTTCATGGGCAACTTATAACAGTGTTCCTATGGCACGTGTGGGTTATTTTGTCGTGTGGGTGTCTGAAGTGAACACAGCTGAAAACGGATGTCGAGTTTCGTCAAGGAACGTCGACGAAAGTTTCGTCGGCAAACGTCGAAATTCACTTCAGACACGCCCTAAGGTTTGTTGAAAGAAGGGACCAACAACTTGCACAGTACTCTACGTGATCCTTAGCTGCCCGATGTGGAACCTACCATTCGCTAAGCACGGCCGGGGGGTTGGGCACTGGCTAGCGTTGGGATGGCGTTGGGATTGCACTGGTTCAGTACATCACCTTTGCAACCGAAGCTTTCGAAGGTACTAAACACTTAAAGCCGTGGCCCAACTATCAGCTTCGACTTCAGGGTATTATAGCTTGAAACTTGGTAGTCCCAGGCAGTTCAGTGGCGAGAGGTTTGTCTTTTGCGAGATTCCATTTTTTTCGTCCAATAAGGGTCCCGTTACACACACTCCATATTTGTCCTGCTACTGTTCCTAAGAAGTTGCACCCCGCCTTTAAGACATGAATACATTACCACAACAATTGATTTGGCGGAAAGAACGCGTGTTCCCGTCCGACTCGGTTCAGTGCAGCTTTTACCGCCGACCTGTAACGAACCATAGCCACAACGAGCCGTCAACACAGCACGTCAACACATGTCATCCTCCCGCCAAATCTCCGCAACTGCAAACGCATGCCCGTGTATGTAACGCAGGTTTTGCAAATAAGACAATCTAAATTTCGCGGTTGGTAAAGCAAACAACGTCCACGCTGGACTGTCGAACCAACCATAAGCATCCAAAGTTTTTGCATCCCTCTCCCCCATTCCACCGCACATGGGCCATTATGCTTTGAACAGTAAAGCCATGGGGCGCACAGCGAACCACAGAAACCGCAGCGTTGTAAAGAGCACGTGCGATTTTAATGCACAGCTGTACGATCAACAAACGGCCAAGCAGAGGAGTCGGATAGATCCAAGGTTTAACGGATCGGTTAGTCAGCCGACACGTGCTGCTGACTGCGCCAATTCATCCTTAGATAAGATTTGTCCGTTCCCACCAACTACACTTTATGGCCGCAAAAAAGATACGCAACCGAGCCCAAACTCAGGGAAACTGGCCTTCCTCATCGCATTTGGTTGGTTGGGACCTTTCATGTGTGTGGTCAATTGCTGCTGTTCACCGTACAATACCTGAAGAAATCGAATGACAGAAGGCGAAGTGCTCGGCTGTATATTTGTACCTTATAGAGTGTTGAACTAGTAATAGCGGATCCTACATACGAAGTACAAAATTCGTTGACTAACCCACAATAAGCAACCTGACTTTTGTTGGATATCTGTCCTCCTAAAGGTCCCGACCATTCTATCAAGTTATTAAACAAGGGTGTGCAACTGAAATAATTGACCTACATGCATTGTAATCCAAATATTGTATCCACAACAATTAATAAACGAGTCCATGAACGCATGCTATTCAAAGTTACAGCATGCTACGTGTAAGGAATTTTCTCGATATTCCTTAGCGCACCCTGCAACATCGCGTACAGCAGCAGCCGTTGTTCGCCCGTTACTGCTAACGGGGCTTCGCCGACTTCGCGCGCACTATTTCACCAAGCCTCGCACTGCTGGCCTGGCCGTGTCGGCCTACGCTTCGGGACTAGCCCGAGCCTCGCTTCCAGCGTAGCACTAGCTAGCTCGCACGCACCGCATTACCGTTTGCATGTTTCGCGTATAAATGTTCGCTCACGCCTTCGCTCACATTTTGTACTCGTTTGACACCTTAGTGCAATTCTCGCTACTTCGATTCATTGCACCCGTAACACTTGGTATTCAGAGCCTCTTTCCTTTTCGGACCGCGCATCTCCGCACCCCAGGAAGTCAACTTTTGATTTTTCACTCGAAGGGACTCACGTACCTTAGCACCTAGGAGCCGCTGTCCTCGCGTTCTCTCGTAAACGCGTGCAGCCACGACTGCGCCTAGACTAAGACGAGCCGACGCCCTTCGAAATGGCTGAACATATCGACGTCACGACTCTCACGCAGGAGCACTTGAACGATATGCTGCGACAAATCCGCGAGAGCGCCGAGGAAATCGCGACCCTGACGGCAGAACGCTCGTCCCTGCAAAATGACCTCACACGAGCACAATCCCAAGCACCTGGCACTCCGATTCAGCCCGCACCACAGGCATCACAGCACGGAAGTGTGGGGCAACCCCCGAGCGCCGCAAGTGATGGCGTCGTCCGCCATGACGGAAACGACCACGGCACGACACACCCCGACGCGACGAATGCGGCCAGGAATCAGCCTCGAGTCACGATTTCAGTGCCGGCCGGCGAATCAGCTCTTCCGTCGCCGATGCCGCTAAAGCCGCGGCGTCCGCCATGCTTTGACCCAAGTCAGCGGGGTGGTCCTACCGTTCAGGCGTGGCTCTTCACGTTGAACGTTTTCTCCGACGCGAACTACGTCTCGGAGGATACGACGAAGATTCGTTACGCCGTGTCGTTGCTGCGAGGACCCGCCATGGACTGGTGGCGTGTCATCGTCACGAAGCCGGTGGACTACGCGACTCTACCGACACGGGAAGGACAAACCGGACCCTGGGCGCCGTCGTATTTCGTGGAGGTGCCCCAGTATCGCACGTGGGACGCGTGGTGCGCATGTCTGCGCGCTCGTTTCGAGCCAATTGCGGCTTCGATCGCGGCGCGACAGAGGCTCCGCACTTGGCGCCAACTCGGTTCCGTCCAAGACTACACGAGCGGGTTTTTGGCGCTATGCGAGCAGGTGGGATATATGCATGAGAGCGAGCGCATCGACCGCTACATCGGCGGCCAGAAGCAGGACATCGCTCAGGAAATCCAGCTTCGCGGCGTCACCGATTTTTAGGAGATTCTCGCCATGGCAGAGAAACTCGATTTCTTCCGCCGACCGAGACCGGGGTCCCACGGAAGCAGCAATTGGGGACATCGGCCTCGTGGGACGAACGAGGGCGCTACGATACGTGCCGTCGCCGCAAATGCCGCTGCCGCACCGTTCAAAGGGCGCTGCTTTGCGTGCAATCGGCCGGGACACCGCAAGAGCGAATGCCCGGAAAACGCTAAGGGAAAGGGGGAAGCTGAGCAGCAGAAACAGACCAAGCAGCAGGGAAACGCTGGGAGTCAGTAGCAGACGGGCCCTCTACTGACAGGTCACGCCGCTCGCCCGACCCAACCGACCCTCACCGAGTGATTGTGCCGGTTCACGCAATCGACCACACCCGCCCGAATAAGGAGGGTACTACGGTAGACAGCCCTATACTGCTTAGTGGGAAAATTGGGACTGACTTAGTTAAAATATTCGTAGACGGGGGAGCCAGCCACAGCCTCATCAACACTGCTACAGCACGAAAACTGCGATTGCCACTGGACAGATGCTTACCTGAAATCGACGCAAGACTGGTCGACGGCACGCCACTGGCAATACGGGAACGTGTGGACCGAGTTCGGATTCGATGTGGGGGTAACTTCACGTTTAGCCAGGAAATGCTCGCAACGACCCTCGACGGAACCGATATTTTACTCGGGCGTGATTGGCTGCGATGACACAATCCGCGAATCGACTGGACAACGGGTGACTGCACTGTGCGAGTGAACGGTAACAACATCGCCTTACCTCGCTGGGGCTCGCCTGAGTCATCGTCGGTGCGTGTTAACGCGATCACGATGAAACGCGCCGTAGCGGCAGGAGCTGACGTGTACGCGGTTGACATTCGGGAAGCCGAGGCAGCAGACAAAGGAGGGGATTTACAGAAACTGCTAGCCGACGTACCGAGTGATCTGGCAGCACTGTTGAAGCAGTACAGCGACATCTTCCCGGACGACTTACCGACGGGACTGCCACCTCAGCGACCGCACGACCACGGGATAGAACTAGAACCGGGGGCACAACCGACAGTACAGCGACAGTTCCGACTGACCCAACCCGAACTGAGGAAGCAGCTGGATTACCTGCTAGAGAAGGACTTCATTCGCCCTAGTTCGTCGCCCTTCGCAGCACCGATACTGTTCACGCCGAAAAAAGACGGGGGATTTCGCATGTGCATAGA